CTCTATACTTAAGCAAGTGCATCTTGGATCATTCTGTCAACTTTGGCATAAGCTCATAATTTTGATCCATGTCATCATTGTTGCATTCCTTTAATGGTGCTGTAAATACCTCTGCCTTATGTTCACTAGAAAAACTTTTTTTGGGGGGGTGCAGGCTCAGCTAACCTACATTTTGTCTCTCTTCTTCCTCTGCAACTTTCTGTGCATCTAGTTCAGCCAAGATCCTGCGTTACTGAGCTCTGCTACACTTTCAACAACTGTCCAAGCATCTTCAGTATCAATTTCCTATCAACTGTTTACCCTAACTCCACTATCTTGTTACTAATATCCAAAATAACTTCATTTTCATTAAATCCTTTGAAACTGTGCACACATATCTTTTCAGGTTGCCTTCCATATTCCATTCATGCAATGTTTTGTAACCTGATCCCTTAACAACTTTAATGTTCTTTATACATGACAAAATGTTGTACTCCTTCCAAAAACTGTCTGGGCGTTTTCTCTCACCTTCAGTAGCAGCAACAGCTGAAGCGAAAGGTCGATAAACGATAATACGGCTTTAAAAGGCAGCTTAATGCTTTTACCTTGATCCATGGATTGGATGATAGAATTGAGTATTAGGTGGAATGTACACACCTTAACATCCAGGTGCATGTCGTCCGGAAGTGTGGTGGGTCCTGGGCATTATCAAAATCAGTAAAATCTTGAATGGAATCCTTTGTTTGAACCACTCCTTAGCTGGGTAAGAATGAAACAAGTCATGAACCAATCCTCAAACAGTATAGGGTCATCAGGCTTTCTTGTTACTGCGATAAAACACTGGCAGTGTGTGCTTGCTGACATGTTTAAAAAGCCCTGGGGTTCTCTGATAATAGATATGAAGGGCTTTTAGCTTGAAACCAGCCAACATTCCCCCCCAACAGAAGTGTAATTCTGTCCTTAGATACCTTGAATCGGGCATTTTTTGCCTCTTTATTGTGGATGTATGTCTGCTCAGGCATACGTTTCCTAATAATCCAGTCTCATCCATTGAATATTTGCTCCAGGCAAATAATTCCCTTCCACAATCACATCATCTAACTCCTCCTTGGCTTAGCCAGCACCAACACCGGCACTAGCTGCCTCTCCACTCACCTTAACATTGTATGAACTGTAGTGTTTTTAAATCTATCAAACCACCAGAAGCTTCCTGTAAAGGTTTGATCACATTCAACTCCTGCCTGCTCCTTCAGGCTTTGGAACCAGAGCTTCTTGCTTTAGCCTGTATGGTTAGGGCTGCCAGAATTGCAGCTTCTGTATCTGATTATTTATCCATATCACCCAATAAATTTTCCATATCAAATGCAGATAGGACCTTGTCTTTTGCTTTGATATTATGAGGTTCCGCTTATAGGTGTTGTTCCTTTCACTACGCTACGAATCGTTCCTTGTGCTTCAAGAATAGTGGATATGACCGAGGTCATATGAGGAAACCTAGGTCGCGTAAGTTATTTAACTACTGTTTTTCCATTCTCATACTGTGTTATTATCTTCAGTTTCATCTCAAAAGTAATTGCCTGTATACTTTCGGCGGGCACCTGCCCTCTCACTACTTCAGTCATTATAAGTCAATTACATCGATAATACGAGAGTTTGTAGCGATCGTATGAGATAAATTAGCCAAGCACAAACAAAGCGCTCACTGGTGAGTGTACCTGGCGACCAAGACACCCCTCCCTCTCGCCGGGACCGAACGTTTCGGTGATAGAAAAATCTTGTGGCGTCATTTGAAAAAATTTTTGGTCTAGCAATTATGATCGTATGTCGTGTATGGACAAAAGCGGTCGTAGTACCAATGGACGTAAATCCACGTAGTATAAATTGAGGTCTAGCTGTATATATATATATATATATATATATATATATATATATATATATATATATATATATATATATATATATATATATATATATATATATATATATACATTATATATATATATATATATATATATATATATATATATATATATATATATATATATATATATATATATATATATATATATATATATATATATATATATATAAAGGGTATCTTGAATCTAATTGGTTCTAGAACCTTGTTAGATTATGCATTTAGTTTAGATATAGGTTAATCTGTTCAGTGCCCCCAAATACAACAACACTGAAAAATATAAAAATATAAATTGTAAAAAGTGCATAAATAATGCATCTAAACCGAAATAATATTAATACTTGTAATAAAAAACAATAATAGTAAAAATATATATATATATTTTTTTAAATATTTCGTTAGGAGTTCGCTATAAGCATTCTCAATTTTATATAAACCGCGTATAGAATATTCGTAGGATCCGTCATAGCATCCACTTGTGTGTGTGTTTTATATGTATATATATATATATATATATATATATATATATATATATATATATATATATATATATATATATATATATATATATATAGATACAGAAAATGGAAAACGGAGTACCTAGCTTTGCCTTTATTCAAGCCAAGGACTCCATTGTTTCATTTTCCGATTACACTACCACAGGATTATATATATATATATATATATATATATATATATATATATATATATATATATATATATATATATATATATATATATATATATATATATATATATATATGTGAACAGGAATGAAGAAACACAAGTTCCTAAGCGCCGTGAAGATGTGAATTACACAAGCGCTTGGGAACTTTGTGTTTCTTCATTCCGTTTATCAGCATATACCTAGATCACGCCATATACAGTGATTTACTTGTATATATATATATATATATATATATATATATATATATATATATATATATATATATATATATATATATATATATATATATATATATATATATATATATATATATATATATATATATATATATATATATATATATATATATATATATATATATACACACACACACAGTATTACCCCGCTTTACGCGGTTTCTCATTTACGCAGTGCCTCGCCAGAACCGAACTTTCACTTTCCGCAGTGCATCTACTCATATACGCGGGAAGCGGCGCGGGCAGGATGCGCACAAGGTCGCCCAATCATCAAAACATTACCGAGTTCTTCACCCGCCACCCACCACAGCTGGCCTAAGTCAGTGATAGTGAGGATATGGACTTATATGGACTTTGAGGGGTTTGACAAAGAGGGCCTGGAAGCCTATGTGGTGGATAGTGATACAATTGATACAAGTGATACAGGTGAGGGCCAATAATCTGCCCTCTGCCTCGGAACCAACCCCCCATCCCTGTGTGCCCAGCCATATTTTCTACTAATGTAAGTGTTAAAAAACTAATATTATTGATATTTTTCTTAATTATTAATTGTGTGTGCATACCATCATAAAATTAAGATGTAATTTTTACTACAACGTAGGTATTGTGTCTGAAAAAGTGGAGTTTGGGGGTCGGGCCAGTCTCTATTGGAATTAATCCCATATGTTCTGTTGTTCACTTTACGCGGTTTTCACTTTCCGCGGTACCCCATGGGTTCAATTAATTGCGTAAATCAGGGCTGGTCAGTCCTGGGAGATGCTGTATTTTGATGATTTAGTATTGATGCCAGATGGTATTGAAGAGGTAGTGGAGAAACTAAAGATATGGATTGATGAATGGAAAGGAGCCAAAGGGTATGATGATAGCAAATGCTATGAAAACAAAAGCAACGATAAGTGGTGTGGGTGAAGGGCATGTGATGGAAAGTGGAAAATGGCCCTGTGCAGTCTGTAAAACGGGCACTGGCAGTAATTTAATAGTGTGCAGTGTGTGTGTTGAAGGTGGGTGCTCAAGACGTGCAGTAGTCTAAATGGTAGACTGAAGGATGTTGCTGACTTTAAGGGAGCTGTATGTACAGGTAATCATGTGACCTAAGAAATGCTGGAGGAACTCAACATTGGGGATATATCCTTTAGTGAAATGGTTAAGTGCTGGAGGTAGTGTTGCAAGAGTCAAAAGTAGCTGAAAATTTCAGGGAGCTGTATGTGGTCAAGAGAACCTTCACTTCACTTGAATGGAAAGGTCTATGTAGTCAGCATAAGAATTATGTTGTATGACAGGGAAACATGGACAACTAAAGAAGATGAAAACTCAACCTGATTAAACTGATATATGAATGGTGAGGTGGATGTGTAATGTGACATTAAGATAGGAAACCCTGTAAAGAGTTAAAAGGGCTATCATGTAGTACTGAGAGTACTAGTGAGGTTTTGTGTATAGATAAGCTGGGAAGGTTTAGGCATGTGAAGAGAATGTAGTAGAATAATTGGGTCAAGAGATGTAAGAGTTCAAAGGTGGAAGGGAAGGGAAGAGAACTAGGTGTAGGCCCAGAATAACATAGGGAGTTGTGAGAAATGATCTCAGGGATAAGAACCTGACTAAAAATGTTTCCAAGAGATTGTATAACTGAGAGGAGAGGTTGCAATAGATCATGCACACAGAAAGAATACCATGCATGGAAATATCCATTCAGCATTGATGATGATGATGATAGTTTATTAATGGTAAGACATACAGTATTGCATTTGCTATTAATAATTGGAAGGTGGACCTGAATACAGCTCCTCCCCGACTTACGACCTACTCGACTTACGACCTGCCTCAGTTGTACCAAAATTTTGTCAAATTACTTATTTTCGAGTCCCAACGTCAGTACGCAGACAAAATTTTAGTTTGTAATTCACATTAAAATGGCTGGCAAGCTTAAAAGTGAGAGTTTTGTGGTGCCGAGAAGAAAAAGAGACACCCATTTTCGATTTTCTATGTATTATTTAAGCATTTTCGACTTACGACCTGGATTTGGGTCCCTAACCTCGTCGTAAGTTGGGGAGGAGTTGTATAAGTGCCTTCTGGAACAAAAAATATTATTCCAATATAACTGTAACTCTATCACATGACACTGTATGTAACCCTCATGCTACATAAGGTTTTATTGTACTGGCTACAGAAGCATACAAACCCTGGAAGGTTGTCACATGATCTGACAAGATCCGTAGCCGATCTGGACAAGAAGGAAAGTCGGGAAAGATTGAGATGTGCTTTATTTCCTTCTTTTCTTAATCTAGCTGCCTCTTGAGGATCATTATAGCGGAACATGTGGCTTCCTCCTAGCACCACCACACAACCTGCAATGAATCAACATGTTGAAACTTATACACAATTGATCCTGAAATATTGTTCTATAACCAAGTCTGGACTGAGTAACTTTGCATAGTAAGAAAATTTGCTGGTTTTAAAACCAAAGCTCCAAGGTCATGACTTGTAACGTAAATAAAAAATTCTAATGAATTTAAAAACTAATTATACTTCATCTTCATAAACTGGTCTCAAAGGATAAGCAAATGTTAAGAATGCAACCCCAAACAGGAAAATACTCCAAAGGTTTTCTGTGAGCATAAACAAAGATGCAGATCTGGTTCATTTGTGTTTTTCATTGGCTAAAAAAGCATTCAGTTAAAAGCAAAACTCCAGATTCAGCTCACCTCAACATCCTAGAGGGAGGAGGTTAGGATAAACCCTCCCATTATCAGAATCCTCCCAATAAAGGACAGGGCTTTTATGAATTAGTCCAATATTAGGAGGGTTTATTGTAACTAAATACAACATGCCCTTCAAATTCGTGGGGGTTAAGTTCTCAAAATCGCCGTGAATAGCCAAATCGGTGAATAACATTTACTGACTGTACATTTTACTCGTGTGCAAAGAAATGTATATTCCCTTTATGTGTTTGCCCTTAGGACTATTATTCCTGTATTGTATATAATTATGTGTGTGTATGTGTGTGTGTGTGTGTAGAGACACACACACACACACACACACACACACAAAATACATACAAATAAATAATAATGGGAAAATCCTCTCACAAATAATCAGAAACAAATGTATTAAAAATGTGAGTCTACCCTCAAGTCAACTCCGTGCTTTATTAATAACAAAGCCCGGAGTGGACTTGAGGGTAGACACACATTTTTAGTACATTTGTTTATGATTGTGAGAGGATTTTACCCATTATTATTTATTTGTATGTATTTAGAGTGACACACACACACACACACACACACACACACACACACACACACACACACACAAAAAACACACACACACACACAAACACACACACACACACAAACACACACACACACACACACAAACACACACACAAAACACACACACACACACACACACACACACACACACACACACACACACACACACACACACACAAAACACACACACACACACACACACACACACACACACACACACACACACACACACACACACACACACACACACACAAAACACACACACACACACACACACACACACACACACACACACAAAAATACACACACACACACACACAAAAACACACACACACAAAACAAAACACACACACACAAAATAAACACACACACACTCACACAAAAACAAACACACACACAAAACAAACAAACACACACACACAAAACAAAACACACACACAAAACAAACAAACACACACACACAAACAAACACACACACAAACAAACAAACACACACACAAAACAAACAAACACACACACAAAACAAACACAACACACAAAACAAACAAACACACACACAAAACAAACAAACACACAAAACAAACAAACACACACACAAAACAAACACACACACACACACACACACACACAAAACAAACACACAACACAGGTAAAAGAAATTACTGTCTCTAGAATGAATGGCTCCCTGTCCCAGCAGAGAAAATGTCAACAACTTTAAAACTACCTTTAGTCATTCTTGGGTACATCCAGGGTGTCATACGCAAATAATCGAGGTCCGCAAATTAAAAATCTGCGAATTGTCAGGGCATGCTGTATACCACAGAAAGTTTCTTACTGTAATTAAAAAATAAATTGTATATGACAATTAAAGAGTAAAAAACAGGAAGGTTCTGTTGTGTAGCTACAAAACCAACCTTGGGTAAGTCTACTTGATTTGTCAACAAACTGAGAATTAACCCAGCATTGTGCATCAGATTTAGATTCTAGTGTTGCTGCACCATCATGTAGCTCAATAGTGCAGTGCTCCTCTAATACTTCCCCACCCTGTAAATAGAGTGACAATAACATACATAAGTTAAATACCATAAACCATCAAATCTGAACCTAAAACATATACGAGGTGTGATCCAAAAGTTCCTGTACTGGCCTCATAAATTCTATATTTTTCAAAATATTACAGTGAAACTTAAGTCACCCTCAAAATATTCTCCAGAGGCCTCAATGCAGCATTGAATCTACTCCTCCCACTTCTGGAAGCAGATCTGGAAGTCCTCGTTGGTGAGGCTGGACAGCACTTTCTGCGATGTGTCCTGGATCTCCATTCTGTCCATGAATTTCTTCCCCTTGAGGTTCAACTTGAAATTTGGCAACAGCCAGAAGTCACAGAGGGCCCGATCTGGAGAGTACAGAGGGTGGGGGACCACCGGGATGCCATGCCCTGGCCAGAAAATTGCTCACAGAGAGGGCAGCCAATTGCAGGTCATCAGTCAACATCTGGTTAACATTTCCAAATGAGAAGTCCAATCGCTCAGAAATCTCGCAGATGGTTTCCCTACAATCTTTATGGACAAGCTTGTCATTTTCATCATTTCTCCCGGTGGAAAGCTGCCCAGAACAATTTTAACTTTCAGAGGAGGTGCACCCTTCTTTGAAGGTCACCATTTTCTGCACCATTTTATCCTAGTCTGAAGGAAAATCTGATGGCAAAACATTGCTCGATACTTGAGTGGCAACTGACTTGACTTAGCAGATGGGCCAGTACACACAATCACACAAAGCTGCACTACGGTTGGTTGTTGCCACAGATTCCCGCCAAATTGATGCAGTAAGCAACTTATACCCAAAGTGAGTAACTGCTGATGATTCAAATTTGATATCTGCTAAGAGAAAGGTTTTATGAGGCAAGTCTGGGAACTTTTGGATCACACCTCTTATCATGCAATCATTTTTAACAATAAAACTTCTGAATTAAGAAGAGCAGGGATGAAATGTTGCCCAGCAAGCTTAATCACAGTAGCCTCAGGAAATACAGTAAGTGTCCATGAAACTTCCTATAACTTTCTATGTAAAGTATATATATAACAGCTTTAATAAATTCAGTATCTTCACAATGAAGATGACACAAAAATTTATGTTAGGTATAAATTATGTAAACTATTCTCATTATGATATAACTCTGGTTAAAGCAAAAACACATTTAATTACAAACCTAAATTGATTGACTAATTGTGGTAATTGCATCCCTGGCAATGCAACAGCTTAGGTCATATGAAGCAGAATTAAAATAAAGACTTAAATGATGAAAATCAAATACATGGGTAATGCAAAGTAAAAAACATACCGTATATCTCGGCCTATAAGGCGTCGGGGTGCATAAGACGGCCCCCCCAAATTTCCATTTAAAAAGTACCTTTTGAGCTCTATTCGCTGTATAAGACCAGTACCCCAAATGTGACACTTACCCACTGACTCAGTAGTCCTTTACCAACCATCCTTGGTTTTTTAAAATAAGGCCAATTCACTTCAAGTAATGTCATCAAATGTTACCTGCTGGTGTAGTGTAAACACTAGTGAAGTCACTGAAGCGTCTGCTATTTACCGGTAACTGGAACTAATGTCTGTGTCGAGTAAAATTTTTCCATTTACTTGAAATATATATATATATATATATATTATATATATATATTATATATATATATATATATATATATATATATATATATATATATATATATATATATATATATATATATATATATATATAAGTAAATCACTGTAGGTGCGCGTGATCTAGGTATATGCTGATAACCACAAGGAAAGAAGAAAACACGAAGTTCCCATACATACATACATACATACATACGAAGCGGTGTTTGAGAAGTCGCCCTTAAGACGTAATAGATGTGTATTGACGTATAAGATACGATAAGTGTAAGTCCAGAGAGTAAATAACTATCACGGCAACGCTACCAAAATCTTCCTCTCTTTTATACTCTTATACTATCAATATTCTACCTATATGTAATCTTCTTATCAGAGTGCCTCATTATATTGGTGGCAGCGTACTATAACATTAACTCACGCCCTCCTCGTCCCTTGTTATTGGTAACAGTGTACTTAACGTAAACCCATGCCCTCCCTCATTTAGCCATAACACCTGGCTCGTTGTTTGAGTATTGTTCGAAAGTGCGTGATAAGGAGTTCCTGCATAGTAGCGTGAAAAGTGTCCTAGTGTGTCACCGTTACAGCTCAAGTAAATGTCTCTCGTCGTGGTATGTGCGAATTTTTTCTAGAAATATGTTCAGTGCTTAACGTGATTTCTCAGTGTCCCCCGCGATCTGTGACATTCTCAGTAGCCCAAGTGCAGTTTGATTGTTGGTCAGTGTTGAACGTAGAAATTGTGTTTCAGTGATGAAAGCGGTGTCTGTACTAACTGTTATAACTTAACATGTCTTTTAACCTACATCCTCCTCCCTGTCCTAATCCTCACCTCACCCTCCTTACCCTTCCTCCCATCCCTGCCCCGCCCCGCCGTTCCGTGCCCCGCCCTGCCCCGCAAAGCCCCGGCCTGGCCCGATCAACCACGCCTCGGCTCCTCCCCACTACACTTAACTCCGCCTCACCCGCCCTGCCTCACCCGCTCCGCCTCACCCGCTCCGCCTCACCCGCCCCGCACCGTCCAGTGTGACCACCAATCCCCATATGTTTTGTCCCGTGAGTTATGCTTCGAAATCGGTGGTTAGTGTTACTTAATATTGCGATAATTACAGAGCTTCACTCAGTGTGTTTTTATGCTAGTATGATTTGTAATGTACTCTTTGACGCGTAGTGATAAATAATATTCAATGTAGTGAGCAGAGCTTCACTCCCCGACCCAGCCTAATGAGAATATTGTCGTGACGGAAACTATTGTTGCCAAACATTGACGTAACGTATAAAGTAAATATTTGTTTTTCTTTACGGATACACTTCCAACTAATCCATCATCCCTTTCGGATTGTACATACATACATACATACATACATACATACATACATACATACATATACATACATATATACATACATACATACATACATACATAAATATATACATACATAAAATATATACATACATATATACATACATATATACATACATATATACACATATATACATACATATATATATATATATATATATATATATATATATATATATATATATATATATATATATATATATATATATATATATATATATATACAAATATATGTACAAAAAATAAATGTTAAATGAATTATTTATGGTGCATTAGGGTACTGGTCACTTCAGACACAAAGACGGGCTATAAATAGCCCATCTCCCCCTCTTCTTACAGCTGCCAATGGGAAGCGTCTTGGTAATTAAATTTGATGTTTATTTTCATTGTCTAATTTATCATGTATCAAAGTAATATTACTAAAAATTGTGTAGGTAGTAGGCAGCTACCAAACAGGTAGATACTACCGCCTGGGAAGATATTGGAAGCATAATGTGTTGTCTAATGGTAGACCCTGCTGCCATATGGCATCACGAAAATTGTGACCAAGTCCCAGGTTCAGCGCTGACCTGACTTTCTGCCTCATTTACACACAATTGCAGTTTGAATTGTTCCTCTAACTTTGACAACACAACATACATACAGTATATTATTTCTCACTTTTGATCTTTTTTTTACTTTTTGTATTTATTTATGGTTAGTTACTTAAAATAAGGCCAATTCACTTCAAGTAATGGCATCAAATGTTACCAGCTGGTGTTGTGTAAACACTAGTGACGTCACTTAAGCGTCTGTATTTAACTGTCAGTAGTTTCAAGAATTAATGCAGTCATTTACTGAATATTCCTTGTAAAAAAATAAATTTTAAATTAATTATTTATAGGAGAAGTATTATTATCAGTAAATATACCGATATGCATTACTGACCACCTCCACGGCTAAAAATAGCCCAATCTCGCGGTCACTTTTCCTTTCTTGTCTCCTCACTGGCAAATGGGGGGGGCGTGGGGAGGGGTGTGTGATGATAGCTGTGTTTATTACAGGGGTATAATTCTCTTTTACGGTATGTTAGACAGGTTTATAATACATTTTTATTATTTTAATATACCAGTAATCTTAATTTGAATCCAGCTTGCCAAACGTAAGTTTCAGTATAAAATAATTAGTGGTAAGACCTTGTGAGTGGCTTACGATGTTTCCATCACCACTCTTGACACACTAAACCACAATATTTAAGAGGTAAGAATTTTATACTTGGTGGTTTAGACGACCCCCTAACTTTGGGCAGATTTTTTTAATGTTCAAATTCCGTCTTATAAGCCGAGATATACGGTAAGTAATAAATAACATAGAACTTTCATAAGAATCCATTTAAACTTTAATAGATAAAACTCAAGGCTTGTGTAAAATACTGGCTTCCTCCACGAAGGAGAGGACGTCCCCTCCCATGCTACCCCAAAGTACCAAAAACAGACAGTAAGACCGGTCTCCCCCAAGCATTGGAAGAGGTGCTTATGACAAAGATATCTGAGACTGGGGCACTTCACCAGGAGCTGTTGAACAGTCAATGGGACCAGGCAGTCATCACAATGGGGAGGGGGCACCCTGTCTATTAAAACACCACGAGTCAGCCGTGTGTGGCCAATAAGGAGGCGAGCCAAAGCAGTATTGCTGTGGCACTACAGTCCCTGATATCCCCAAGCACCCAATGCAGGGTGCATGTTGTTGAGCTTGTTTGCTCCGACAGCATCCCACTTGCATTGCCAACTCGAGCAGAAGGCAGCTCTTATTACTGGTTTCATATAAGAGGCAGGTAGGGGGAATGATGTGCCACAGGGCGTGAAGCAGCTGCTTTTGTGACAGCATCAGCACGCTCATTCCCTTTCTCCCCCACATGGGCTGGAACCCATCAAAAACTGACTTTCCGGCCCTGAAGTTGGATGAGAAATGGGGGACTCATCATGAACTCCCCGCTAATGATGAAATTGATGAAGGCTTGGAGCTTAGGAATCTAGGAATGTCCTAACCCATTGGTCCCCAACCTTTTCAAGGCTCTGGGCCACATTTATCATTATAAACATAGTGGAGGGCATCAAAACTTTGGATCTACAAAAAAAAATAAATAAATAAATAAATAACCTCATATACAGTGGTCCCTCGGTTAACGAACACAATTCGTTCCTGAGGGTCGTTCGTTTACCGAAAATTTCGTTAACCAAATCCATTGTTTCAATGGGATATTGGGTACTTGGTTCCAGCTCACCGAAAAGTACATACAAAGTAAAAAAAAAAAAATGCAATAAAATACACTTACTTTGAGGTGTGTATGTAGAAGGTTCCTGGTTGATGATGGGAATTAGAAGTGGGGGTGGAGGAGAAGGGAGAAGAGAAGGCAGTGGGAATGGAGAGGAAATCACCTTTCAGGGGACCCATGCTTCATGCCGTCATTTCACCAAGAAAATTTTAAGTTCACTCGGTGTAATTCAAGATTATTTTATTTAAATCAACACTGCACTGCGCTATATATTATCAATATGTTAACTAAATTTCAGAATGACCAATAATTTTAATGAAAAATGCAAAAATATTCAAGATACCAACAAAATAGATGTTCACTCCACTGTCAACAGAGCCCAACTGACGCCTTGTGGCTGAGCCACAAGGCATCTGATGGGCACACAAAAAACTAGTTCCCTGTACTGCATATATTATCAATATGTTAAATAAATGTTAAAATGACTAATAATTTTAATATAAGAAATGCTCAAATATTAAAGAGCACAACTTTATTGATATTTACTCCACTGGAAACGAATGTAAACATAGATCAGATTACTGAATTGGCAGACTAGCCCATCAGCTGATGCTCACAACAAAACGTGATGTTCGTAAGGATTTCGTTAATCAAATTTTTGTTCGTTAACCGAATTGAAGATTCTTATGGAAGGTAATTCGTTAACCGAAATTTCGTTAACTGAACTGTTCGTTAACCGAGGGACCACTGTACAATATACAGTTATTTGCAGTTTTACACAAAGTCTAACTGTTTAACTGTTACCAGTTACATACTTTTTACATTTACTCTTGGATCATGCTAGCTCTCTCTGGGCCGGGTCTGTGGTAAATACTCACGTCCCGTACACGACAGATTCGGGACAACGGGTTTCCTCTCTCTCTAAAGTCGTATCAAGTTATTACATTAATATCTCCGTTAGCCGGAATCCCTCAAACCTGGAACTCTCTGATTGCCGGAATTGATTTTTCCTTGGAAAATTGTTCCCAAAGGCAAAATTTTCCGGAAAATTCCGGCTTTGTGACCCATTTTCTGAAAGGCAAAATTTCCGGAAAATTATGAGACAATTTTTCCGATACCTGGAAAATTCCAGAGATGAGAGATTTTTTTTTGGCTTTGAGAGAGTGGTCTCATTACCCAGAAGTGCTCTGCACCAATTGTTCTGGCTAACGGGGATATCACTGTACATATTTTCATTATTTTCACTCTGACAAAGATTCCCAATTATTTCACAATTTTATTATAAACCCTTGTGAGCTCCATAATATGGTTTCCAAACTACAGGTTGGGGACCACTGCCCTGACCCATAAAGGCTGGGGCTTAAGCAGAGGATAAGCTTTCTTCCGTGCATTAACAACAAATTTTTTTAAGTAAGAAGCCACAGCTACCCAAAAACTGAGAGCTAATGAGCCATTATCACTGCTATAAAGTGGGTCACATGACAACCTCACTTCTCACTCACCCCACTGAAGACTCTAGGAGGGATGATGGGAATCAAGTTGTTCTCTTCAAAATTGGTTATAATCTGGGATTTCAGGATCAGTCCCAAATCTATAACCTGTTTAGAATGATTCATGAATACAACCCCCCCCCCAAAAGGAGGAGGTAGAACAAAATGTTCTATGTGATGCAAATTCATCCACATCTACATGATTTACCACTGCATACCGTGACAGTTAAGCTACACTAGTCTATGCAGTTCCCAAACATGGCTTAGTTCTTCTTGAGAGGTAGCTTCAGCATGAACTCTCTGAGGCATTGGTAATGCTGAGCACAGAGTTCTCCCAGCATGAAAAACCTCAACTAGAAAAAAAGAAAAAAAGATACCTACTGTATATGCATAGAAATTCCCTTTGACTGCTTCAGTTCAGATATAACCTTGAGTATTTTTTTATGGAATATGTTCATTCCCACCAAACTTTTATGAAGGTTAGAAGTTACAAATGTGGAGAGAAAGAGAATATTAGATGTCACAAATACATCCATTTCTGGACAGATTCAAAGAAAAAGAATCCAAGAGGATAAATCCATTAAAGTACCTATAAGTTCCTTGACACATGTGTGATATCTGAGTGTTCTAACAATATACTTGGCTGTAATGGAACAGAAGAGGTTTAGTACAAGAATGAATATTTCCTTAGAAACTACTCATAAGGAAAAGTCCATAGAGGACACACTGAGCTTACTTATTAATAAATGCTACTGCTTATATCTTATCAAACAAAAACAAAATTCTCCTCCCATTCTTGTGACTAAGAAAGAAAAGAGGAATCAAGAACTCCTCCACAAGACTCTTCAAAGGCACAGCCAGTCTCTACTATCCTCATGAACATACCAGGAAGGGAAATCCCCATCCCAGAGTGGAAGCATCTGTCCTTAAGATATCAGAGGGAAATGAAGCCCAATGAAGCCCACATGAACAATGTCAAAGTTCTTGTCACTCACTCAAGAAAATGACCAGGCAGTTGTTTTAAAGTTTGTAACAAAGTAAGCACAAGTAACTCAATGGCTACCATTCATATGTACCCACCAATACATCTTAATACAAAGAACAGTGTATCAATCTTTTCCTGTTACCAGTAGCAAGAACAATAACAGGCCAAAATATCTGTAACCCATTAGGCAAGACCAACCTGACTGAGTTGGATCCTGGTAAGGATATTGCAGAGGTCTTGTTTTCTATGGTAAGGTGACATGTCAAATAGTTTATCTAGGACACTACCTTGACCTTGTAGCCTTTCTGCCTTGAATGGCAGCATTAGTATGAATTAGAAATCCTTTTATTTCAGATTGATAAGAGCCAGAAGCAGTTTGAATGATAGTTATGTTGCACTGCTACTATGCTCAAAAGAATAAGCTGGCTTTGTCATGTGAGATAGTAGGCCACATATCACTGGCCATAAGCAAAGTATCTTGAACATGTTACACATATAGTAAATTAGTTTCATGCAACATAATCACTAATACAAGAAATTAAATATATTAAACATCAAAATACTAATACCTCCAGTCTTATATCTTGTGATGAAAGGGAACCTATAGTAGTGATGCCATCATTCAGGTGATAGAGAGTAACGCCTGTGGTTAGTAAGTTGTCATCTATCAATACAAGATGAGGTCGTTCAGAGTCCAAAACCACACCTTGTCCTAAAAGATATGAGGAAAAAAAATCAATGTAAACATAGTAGAGACTACCCTAGATGGGTCACAGGGCTAGTTTCCGTAACTACAGCATTGTGAATGACTTCTTTAACAATTAAATATGCACAGTACAGTACTGTAGTTCCATCTCAGCATGGTTCATTTTCACCCACAGAGGGTAAATACTGAAATACATGGTGTATTTTCACCTATAGGTACTATATATGCCCCCTTCCTCCACCCATATACTCCCCTATATCCCCTACCCACCAGAGCCATGGGGATAAAAATGACAGGGGGACCACACTTAGCATAGAAAATGCATTCCTGGGTACTACTTTAGTGCCAATAATTTTTTAATGATTTCCTAGACTCACCATGTGAACTCTGATACCTATAATTCCATTAAGCTTTCCATTTTCCTCACTTCACTTTTCATGTCACTAGTAACCCATTTACACTCGCCTTAGAAATTGGAATCTGCAGCTGAGTCGGCAGCTGACGCGCCATCCTGACAACAACAGATGACGCACTGCCACCCTCACTTAACAATCATAAATGAACAAACCAAAAATATTAGTTACAGTATTAAATCTTTTCCATTAAGCTTTCCATTATCTTCACTTCACTTTTCACGTCAATAGCAACCCATTTACTGTACACTCACCTTAGAAGTCGTAATCTGCAGAAGAGTCGGCTGCTTTCTTGTCACTCACTCAGAAAGACTGAGCGGGTGAGAGTGAATGCGTGAGAGAGCAGCCACGGTGGCGCCTCTGGTGAGCATGTAACACATTTGTTTGCCATGGCAGTACATTTTAAATATTTCCTGCCCGATTTCTCTCGCGAAAAAAACAAACAAATTATCGCTATATATCAGAAAATGTCGATAATTTTGGTAGCCGCGATATAAAAAAAATCGTTATATAAAGTGGCGATATATCCCGACCCTAGTGTATTATTTAATTGCATGTGTTTTGTGTGTGTGTGTCTACACACACACACACACACACACACACACACACACACACACACACACACACACACACACACACACATATATATAAAATACAGGTAAAAGAAATAATTGACCTAAGGGCAAACACATAAAGGGAATATACATTTCTTTGTACGCAAGAGACTGCGCTATACTGAACATGTGCACTACAACTACATTTGTCATATGCAATAAATAAAAAGCAAATCAAAAGTTTATATCCTTTTACGATCACATATTGTACAGGGGGTCCTTATAATTTGTACAATCGCTATAAAAGTAGCACTTCACTAAGTCGGATTACACAGGCTTATTCGAAACCTCCTCTAGGTAATTTTGAACATCATTTTGCTGAAAAATTCTTTCTGCCCCCAAAAATTTAAGTTAACAGTATACAGGTACATTTACATAGCACTTACATTTATTGGATCAGATGAATCTTGAGGTGGAGGACGATGAGGGGCTACTTAAACTTAAATATTCACACTTATATTAAGTATACAGAATACTTAAATCAGGCTGATGTCATAAAAAGTACTCTGCTTCAACCCAAACTCCTCACAGATAACATTCATGGAGACCCCATCACTGACTCTGTCACGTAACTTCAGTTTTTCCTCATCGGTAAAGTTCTGAGCACCATTCATTTTCTCCCAGTGATTGTCAGTGGTGTTGCTATGCCTTTACTTGCTTTAAAGGCCATATTTTGTAATAATACACTACGGGACCACTAAATATGAATAAAAAAACAGAGTACGTTGAGGATCAGTGATCGCAACAGCAAACAGGCAGGAATTGAAACCTACTCCAACTGCTACCCCATGCAATACCCCCTAAACCAGAGCTCATTTTACTTATGGGGGTTTCTGGCTTACAGAAGTCTGACTTCAAGGGGTCTTAATGTACCTGGTTATAGAAATAGTGTAGCAGTGTTTACCACCAATAATTGATTATTCGTATGTCATACTTAGTTATATGTACAGGTATCCTTCATTTAACTATTGTTCACTTAGTGATACAGTATTTTAGTTCAGTGATATAAAATTTTTAACACCATTTCTTGTTTAAAAAATTAAAATTTTTGGGAGAGCACTCTTCGAATCAATGAGAAAAATTTTGAGGGAAAGTTGGATAAACTGGGGATTCTGTGCTCCAAGTGCACATCATTACAATACTGTAATGTGGCTTAGAAATAAAGAAAATACTGTACTGTATACAGTACAGTACAGTACAGTATTTTATAGTACGTACAGTAAACCCTCGCACTTCCGGACAATTGGGGATAGAGGGTACCTGGATGTGGCAAATGTCCGGATGAACTGGGGGACGAATGCACATTAATGATAATCATAATAGTGTACATGGACTTTATTGATACGGGTAATAGCAATAGTTTTCTAAAAATAATATATAGTGGTCCCTCGGTTAACGAATTAACGGTTTGATTAACGAATTAGCTCCCATAAGGATCTTCAATTCGGTTAACGAACAAAACTTTGATTAACGAAATCCTTACGACAAACACATTTTGTTGTGAGCATCTGCTGATCAGCTAGTCTGCCAATACAGCAATCGATTTTATGTTTATATTCGTTTCCAGTGGAGTAAATATCAAGAAGGTTGTGCTCTTTAATATTTTTGCATTTTTTATAATAAAATTATTAGTCATTTTAAAATTTAGTTAACATATTGATAATATATGCAGTACAGGGAACTAGTTTTTTGTGAGCCCATCAGTCGTTTGACTCACCTGCCAAAGAGTCAGTTTAACTTTGTTTACAGTGGAGGAAAAATTGTGTTTGTTGCTCTCTTGAATACAGACATCCCCCATGTTACGGATGGGTTGCGTCCCTGGAAAAGTGACCATATCGCGAAATTCCGTAACGCGAAACCTATTTTCCCAGAGACTTCCATTATAAAACTGGAGATGGGTTTCTAAGGAATTTTTTTTCGGCCCAAAAAAAGTAATTCAAGCACTTTTATGAATAAAAATAAATATTTATAAACACATACAATACAGTACATTAAATAATTTATGATATACCTTCTTAAAACATCAAGTTTAATATCCAATGTAATGCCTTTGCAGCTTCTTTTTGCACTACTGCGGTCACTTCCACTTGATGGCCTCTTTCCAGTAATCTTGAATAAGGGCAATGCACTGTACTGTACTTACTGTATGTTTGTAAAAATTAAATCCAACTGCTGGGGCGCGAAACATGCGCGCACACTGGATGTAAACAACGGAGTGACTACGCGTGGCCATGCCACGCTTGGCAGTAGCAAACACCAAGAAATCCACACTAAACAAATTTTAATTTTTAACAAAATATTTTAATTTTATATAGTGATTTTATATATTTTTTTTAATGGTTAAAATATACCCCAATTTCCGTAAGGGCGGACTTACGGGCCGTATCGCAAAATTATTGGTCATATCTTACAAATTCTGTAAGAGCGAAATTCCGCAACCCGGGGTTCCGTAACGCTTTTACATTAAAACTATTGGTCACTCTGAAATTTAGTTAAAATATTGATAATATATAGCGCAGTGGAGTGTTGATTTAAATAAAATAGTCTTTAATTACAACTAGTGAACTTAAAATTTTATTGGTGAAATTACTGCATCAAGCATGGGTCCAAAGAAAGACGATTTCTCCTCCATCCACACTTCCTTCTCTTCTCCTTCTCCTCCACGCCCCACTTTCTTCTCTTTTCCCTTCTCCATCCCCACTTCCTTCTCTTCTCACCTTCTCCTCCCCCCCCTACTTCTAATTCCCATCATCATCATCAACCAGCAACATTTCTACATACACAACTCAAAGTAAGTGTACTTTACTGCATTTTGTTTATACTTTGTATGTACTTTTCTGTGAGCTGGAACCAATTACCCAATATCCCATTGAAATAATGTATTCGGTTAACGAATGAGTCTGTGGAACGAATTGTGTTCGTTAACCGAAGGACCACTGTACAGTGAATACTTGTGAATACAGTACAGTGACCCCTCGTTTAACGAACTCAATCCGTTACAGAAGGTCGTTCGTTAACCGAAAAGTTCGTTAACCGAAACCATTGTTTCAATGGGTTTTTGGGTAATTGGTTCCAGCTCACCGAAAATTTCCTAAATTCAACAAAAATGGTAGAAAAGTTCACTTACTTTGAGGTGTGTATGTAGAAGGCTCCTGGATGATGATGATGATGTGCATTTGAAGTGGGAGGTGGAGGAGAAGGAAGAAGAGAAGGCATTGGGGTGGAAGAGAAGTCACCCCATGGCACCATTTCACCCATAAAATTTTAGTTCTCTTGGTGTATTTCAAGATTATTTTCTTTAAATCAACACTGCACTGCATTATATATTGTCAATATGTAAAATAAATTTCAAAATGACCAATAATTTGCTTGAAAACACAGAAAAAAAGCGTTTAGTTGAAGAGAGTCTCAAGCAAGATGTTACCTCCAGTGAAAACAGAGAGACTAATGCCTGTTTGCTGTGTTAAGAGGCTGGATGCCGCGCATTAAACTAGTCACTTTACCTTCAATTATGTTCAATAATTGTTAAAATGATAAAAAATTGAATATTAAACTTTTAAAATTATTGAATAGTATAAACTTCTTGATATTTACTAAAATAGTAAGGAATTTAAGCCCTAGAACCGATTAATGTATTGGCGGACTGATACTAAAGCTGGTTGCCCGGTCAGTGCAAGCGAAAACATGTTGAGGTCGGTTCGTAAGAAATTCGTTAACCGAATTTTTGTTCGTTAACCGAATTGAAGATCCTTATGGAAGGCAGTTCGTTAACCGAAATTTCGTTAACCGAGGCGTTCGTTAAACGAGGGGTCACTGTATAGTCTCGATTTATGCGGATTTCGTTTACGCGTTTGGTCATTTACGCGGCACCTTGCCAGACCGACAATTTTTATTTAAACCGTATTTTCCATCATTTACGCGGGAAGCGGCGCGGGCAGGGTGTGCACAAGGTTGACCAGTCAACAAAACATTACCAGTTCTTCACCAGCCACCCACCACAGCCAGCCCAAGTCGGTGATAGTGATAGTGAGGATATGGACTTTGAGGGGTTTGACAAAGAGGCCCTGCAAGCCTCTGTGGTGGATAGTGATACAGGTGAGGGCCAATAATCTGCCCTCTGCCTCAGAACCAAACCCCCATCCCCGTGTACCCAGCCATCTCTTCTACTAACGTAAGTGTTAAAAAGCCTAATATTATTGATATTTCTCTTAAATATTAATTGTGTGTGCATACCATCATAAAAGAAAGATGTTATTATTACTACAACGTACGTATTGTGTCTGGTGAAGTATAATTTGTTTATGTACTTGAGATATTTGTTTTTAGCTCAAAAAATTCATAGAAACTACTCGGCCAGAATATAATTTACAATGCTGGAATTTTTATAAGATAGTGATTAATTTGAACATAAACAAGCTAAAATTTGCATTAGACATACAAATTTTAGATCTAATTTAAGAATTTTATTAGAGAGAGCAAAAATTTATCTTTTGTGCAAAATATATGACGCTCATATACAAATTATTCACTGTCTTGCAAGGAATCCAGCAATGTAAATTATATTCTCCTAAATATAGTCTGAGGTATTATTTATTACTAACCTAAAAGCCTAGTCCTTTTCCCCAAACATTTCTCTGGGAGGGAGGGAGCCAGCGAGCATGGGAAGAGGGGGGGGGAGGGGGGTTGAGTCCATTATTTGAACGGATATTAACCGGCAACTGTATTTTTCTTAAATATTAATTGTGTGCTTTCCATCATAAAATTAAGATGTTATTTTTACTACAACGTACGTATTGCGTCGGAAAAAGTGTAGTTTTGGGGTCGGCCCAGTCTCTTATTTCAATTAATCCCATATGTTCTGTTATTTCGTTTATGTGTTTCTCGGTTTACACAGATCTCCACAGGTTCAATTGACCGCGTAAATTGAGACTATACTGTACTGTACTTAATTTTATGGGGAAAAATAGGATATGTTCCATAACTACTAAAAGTCAACAGTAATGCTATAAAAGTTGTGAAAAAATCATTACAATACTCTCATGTGGGTTACAAACAAAGATAATATAATATAAAACTAAGACATTTGAAGAGCATGGGTGTTTGTGTGGAATGTGAAAGTATGTGGAGTGGCTGACTCACTACCCGACCCGCATCCCGTGACGTCACATACAGCGCAGTAGACAAACACATACACACACTGTGCTGCACTACACAAGAGTATTAATGCTATAAAAGTTGAAGAAAATCATTAAAATACTCCACTGCGGCTTATTAATAAAGATAATATAAAATAAAACTGTAAAATAAGAAAAAATAAAGAATGTGGGTGTGTGTGTGTGGTGGCAGCTGTGGCCTTGAGCCACCTGATAACTGAGGTGCCTTCTATCCCTCAGCCCCCAACCCTCCCTCCTTCAATATGACATCACATACAAACACATCATTTATATAGAAGTTTGGTGTTACTACATAAAAAAAAAAAATACAGTACCGTATTTTAAAGCACGGAGTATTTAGGAAAAATCTTTTGTGCGTATTTTCCTCTTGTAGCCAAAGTTTTCTTAAAAAAATATATACAGTACCAGGAAATGTGACAAATACATATAAATAATACCAACAAAAAATACTGTATTGCCAGATCAGTAAATAAAAGTCAAATGAATGTTTAACACATTCGCCATTTGCATAAATTCCTTGTTTCACCATAGTAACGAAGATCAGCTGGGACGCCGATTCCCTAGTAACGCTCCCGCAACCCCAACACTCTCCTCCCGTTACGTGTTTGCCCTTTGGATAATAATATTATTTCTTTTACTTTATTCACAATATGTATGTAGGATGGTGTGTACAAGTAAATGAGTAAAAATAAATGAAGAAAGTTAAATATATCAACCCAAAAATACAAGTTGAAAAACAACCATAACACCAATAGCCTGGTGGCTACAATTACGAGTTTAACCTGGCTGCAATGCCATGATTAATCACTTTTAAGCACTATTATTTCAGTAAACACTAATAATAACAGTAGATCCAGTGAAATATGGCAGTGAAGGAGGAGAGCTACAATTGCAGACGACACTCTAACTAGCAATCACTCACTCGCTCACAGGCTCCAGTTGCCAGGCGTATGATGGAAATACGTATGGGAGAAATACATATCTTGTACAGTAGTCTAATTTGAAAATGGTGATGGGCACAGTAATAAACAAGTTATATAAACCATGCATTTACCTACAACAACATAATAAGAAACATTGTATCATTACTAGAGTGAATGAAATAATATTCTCAAAAACAACAATTGATAACTCTTGGGCACCTGTGTCCCGCGAGCTGACACCTTGGTCCCTTGAAATTTTGCGAACATTTCATCAGAGGACAAAATTTGTCCTACTTTCTTTTTTTTTTTAAATATACTTTGGCAAATAATTTTGTCCGGCCTCAGCGATATCCACTTTTGCAGGGTCCGCCTTAACAAGATTTTACTGTAAATCAATTTTTTAACTTCAACAACGTTTATTAAGAGAGACAGTAAGAGATAGTCTCACAAACAAAGGCAGATGTGGTGGAGCCATATCTTCTACAGAACGCATAAAAGGGAGTCTTTTCCGCATAAAATGAATTGTGGGTAGAAATAGGGTTGCTGCATAAATGGGAATTCTCAGAAAATAAAAGCCAAATGAAAGTTTAACACAGCCACCAATTGCATATACTCCCTGCCTCACCATAGTAACAAAGACCAGCTGGGAAGCCGATTCCATAGCAACCCCCCCCCCCACACCCCTACACTCTGCACTCTCCTCCCATTATATGTTTGCCCTTAGGATAATAATTTCTTTTAAATTTTTCACAATATGTATGTAGGATGGTGTGTTCATTTAACTGAGTAAAAATAAATGAAGAAAGTTACGTACAGTATATCTACCCGAAAATGCGATTTTTTTGAAAAACAACTTTATACTGTAGCTGTTTTTCAACTCATATTTAGCACACCTCACAACTTGGCACAGCAAATGATGTGGACTGGGTCCATTTTAGCAGTGGGGAAGTAAACACAGCATACAGACTGAGAAAGAAAGACCAGAGAGGAATTTGCCACATCCAGATGTCGGTCCACAGATGTTCAACCACAGGTGTCAGCTTCCCCAGTTTAGTGTTTACACACATATGCATGTAACATGGTTAGGTATATGTACAGTAGTACCCCGATTTACGCGGTCAATTGAACCCACAGGGTACCGCGGAAAGTGAAAACCGCGGAAAGTGAACAACAGAACATATGGGATTAATTCCAATAGAGACTGGCCCGAACCCCAAACTCCACTTTTTCCGACAAAATACCTATGTTGTAGTAAAAATAACATCTAAATTTTATGATGGTATGTTCACACAATTAATATTTAAGAGAAATACAGTCGCCAGGTTAATGTCCATTCAAATAATGGACTCAAATCCCCCCCCCCTCTTCCCAGCTCACTGGCCCCTACCTCTCTGAGAAATGATTGGGTGAAACACTAGATTTTAACGTTTAGTAATAAATAATACCTCAGACTAAAGTTAGGATAATATAATTGACATTTCTGGATTCCTTGCAGGTCAGGAATATTTTGAATGTAAACTTCATATATTTTGCACAAAAGATAAAATACTTGCTTTGTGTAAACCAAATTATTACATTAGATCTAAAATTTGTATGTCTAATGCAAAATCCATGATGTTTATATTCAAAATGATCATCATATTGTAAGAATTCCAGCAATGTAAATTATATTCTGGCCGGGTAATTTGTATGAATTTTATGAGCTAAATAAAAAAAAAAAAAATTATACTTCACGCGTATATGAGTAGATGCACCGCGGAAAGTGAAAGTCCGGTTCTGGCAAGGTACCGCGTAAATGAGAAATCGCGGAAAGTGAAACCGTGTAAAGCGGGGTAATACTGTATAGAGTTTTTCTGTGAGATTAATTTATTCCTTGCGGAGTTCGGAAGGTGTGACCGAGCGATGTATTAGCCCCTTAGTTTATATTATATATAAATGTGGGGTAGTACATTAATTTTGTATTACTATCACCCAATGTAAATTTCCACTAGCTATGAGGTAGCATGTTCAGAGCATGTGATAAGTGTACCCACAGGAAGCCGTGTCACTTTGTGCTGAAATAAGGATTAAGTACCTGTAATTGGCTCTCTGGCCACCTATTGCGGGCAGTAATTTGGTATCACTATTAGAGGAAGACGTTATTTAGAGTCATCATTGAGGTGATCCGTCATCCTCGAGGGAGGACGTTGGATATATTTCCGTTCTCCCTCTAGGGTTCCTACTGATTCTCACTCAAACTCTCACATCGACAGGACGTAGTTAGCAGAGCTATATATGATAGCCTTCATCCTCATTTAATACTCATAGCTATAGTGGTTAAGTTATGGTGATAATCTTCTTTGAAAGTGTACATAGAACTCTTTTTATAATAAACAAACAAAGGGAACATATTGGATTTCACTACAGAAGATCCAATAAACTTTGATCTATATTTTAGTATGTCTAGAATATAAGGTAATGTGCTACACAAGTGATTGTTACAAGTGGTGACAACCCAGGAAGGTTGGTACATATATGACAGCTTCACAAGTAGCTGTTATAAATAAGTAACAGTCACCTCAACAGACAAAATGATTAAAGGTAGAGAATATATTTTATTCTCCCTGTTCCTGTGATAGCTTGAAGCTTAAGTTACAAGTATATGTATATTAATGCAGTAAATGAATATGAAATGTAGATTAGTAATGTAGAATTATGAAGAAAACAAACTGATAAATGTTCAAATGATACATGAAAATAGTAACCAGAGCAAATTTACAAAATAATACATGTATCAATCCATACCAGCTTTGCGAAGGCCAAGAGTTTTCTGCTCCTGTAATATTGTATGTGTTTCACTCCATCGCTCAGTCCACTGATCTGTTAGCTCTTTCTCCTTTGCCTGTTTCTGACTAAGAGCTGCCATTATGCTGCCTGCTTCACTGTTTGCCTGTTGACCAATACAAGGAAATGAATTACACAATTGAATTTAATAAATATCTAAAACACAGTTTTCTATATTTAAAAAAATAATTCTGCATCTGAAACCCAATAAACTATATTGTTCCCTGTTTATTTTGAATGGAAACACATGTCTGACATGTTTGACCACAAACAGGAATGCAAAGAAGAGGTACTGTATATACAAATATATACACAACACTTTCTTGCCAACTATGAGGGTTAGGTTAGGTTAGGTAAGGCATTTGGGGATATAACCCCTGAGAAACATACCTTAAGACCTATAATGTGCAGGGTGTACACTTTACAAAAAAAAAAGTATACTGTATTGTACAAAAATAAAATTAAGGCCCATTTAACACAGAATAATGTCTGATGCACAAAGATACATACAGTACCCTTGTGCTGAACATGACTACTGCCATGCACTCCTCAATTTGTTATGTTATTAATTTCACTTGGGTCAATACACAGTTGGTTGTGTTTACTGTGTACTGTAAAGAGTATTTTGTATTGTGGCCAAATATTTCTTTATGCCCAACAGTACAATGAGCAAATGAGAAAGTAAAGTGAAATATATCATGCTGCATCTGGTGGTATCAAGAAAAAAGGCATAAAATGACCTTTGATGAGAAAATTAATGCAATCCCCTTCAGTATCCCCAGAAAGCCATCCTTCTGCCTCAAAGAAATAATTTTCTTCTTATCTGTAACTTCTCCTCAAATCTATTTTGCAAGTACAGGTAGATATGAGTATTGTGGACCATAACATTGTAAGGCCCCCCAAACAAAAAAAAAGGTAAATATGGTTAAAGTTTTGGAAAATGGAACTCACTACAGGTATAATCCCCTGAACAAATTGTGATAACGCAATCAATCTTGGAAAAAACTGAAGCTTACACACTCAAGATAATGATCTCATAATCAGATAATAACAATCCTGTCATGATTATTAGTAATCATGAAAATGCCAATCCTTTCTCTCCCTAAGGTGTGAGTCCTGAACAATGAAGTGTGAATTTGAAGCATACGCTAGTGAGCAGGAGGGAGAGTGGAGGGGTGTGTCAGGGTAGGTGTCTTTCTGTGGTGGTTGGGGGGGTGGGGGTGGGGGGAGACGGGATACTGAGAGTGAGGACGGAAATTGTACATCAGTTGGGAGAGATTACAAGTGCAAAATAACTCTTTGAAAATATAAACAAGGTTTCCTCAGCTAAGTGTAATCATCTAGTGTTAACCAGATGAAAATAATGAAATTACAATAGTATGACTGAACCCCCCCCCTCCCCCCACTGTTTGTCTAAAGTACTGACTCATTCATGATACGTACAATAATATTTTTTTTTTTCAGAAATTAGTACAGATATGTTACTGTAATAATCTGTACCCTTCATATACAATACAGTATAGTACTATGTATATACCTCATAAGTAAAAAATAATGTCATTCAAGACAAATTTAGGTCATAAGGCCCACTAATCCCCCACCCAACACTGGGTGACCTGACGTTGCATCAGGTCAGGTTAATAACGTGACCCAATAATCTCACACCCAACCTTCATCACAAGTGATAAGACATGATTAATTATGTATTAATTACAGTACAGTCAATTGAGTGAAGTGTGTAACAGAGAAGTGACGATCGCCCAAGCGACTAACGAGCTGATTAGTGGTGAAGAGGATAAACGTAACAGCTGTACCCTGTATTCATGCCTGTATCATATAGACTTTTTTTTTTAATATACTCTATTTATTTAACCAAACTTTTAGAGATAAAGTATTCAGGATTATTTTGATTAAAAAATGGTGTCTAACGAAATTAGAATTGACTTTACTGACTCCAGTATCAACATTTATTATGTTTTTTTTGTTTTTTTTTTAAGAGAATGGAATTCCCATCACTATATTATATAGAAATATTTCGTTTAAGGACGTCTTATTGGAAACGTTTCATACAGAATTTATTAAGGATCATTATGGTATCAAATTCATCTCCTTATCACAATTAGCTATGCTTGAGTGAGGAAAGGTGGGGGGGGGGGGCGGGTTGAGAAAACTGACCGCAAGGCACTCTCCCCTCACTCCCCAAAAGGGTTAAGTCCAACACTCTTCAGGAAAACTTAACATTACACGCTGTAATGGCCCCTGTCTCATCAACAGAAGTATTATATAAATGGGTTATTTACATCTGATTTACATTCAGATTCACCCCCTGTAACTTTCCACTGGCTATGAGGTGACTGTTCAATGCACGTGATAAGGTGTGCCCGCGGGAAGCTGCATCATACTATGCTGAGTAAAGGCATAAGTAGCCGGCTCTCTAGCCACCTAAAGCGAGCAGTAGCTTGATATCCTTGACAAGAGGAAGACGTTATTTGAGAGCCGCAGTGGATGGCTCCGTTTTCCCTCGATGGATCACTACTCAAAGTCTCGCTCACAACTTAATATCGAACGGACGTTGATTCACTCATAAATAGTGGAACTTACGGTTGATCTACACTCAGGAATTATATACATAATACTTTTTAATAAAACAAAAAACTTCAATTGGGTTTCGTTAATAAAGCCCAATATAATATATGTGAACCAACCTGGTTAACTTGGAATTAACCAACTGGATCAACGCACACATGCACGCACACACACTCCAACAACCACCCACACACTCCAACAACCACCCACACTCTCCAACAACCACCCACACACTCCAACAACCACCCACACACTCCAACAACCACACAAATGCACTCCAACACCACTCACATACCCCTAACAAGTGAATGAAGACAGCAGACATGAGGAGTGAGGGTCTTATTGTGTGACAAATTTGTGTGTGTGACTGAGTTAAGTATCAGCTGTTGAGGAGTGCTTGGCAACACTCATTTCCACTCCATCTCTCTAATTACCCACACCTTTCTGCTTTCTCACTCCATATTTTAAAATGTAATGTAATGTTAAAGGGATACAACTTTGCTCATTTATACTTATACTTATAACAATCTCTCTAAGAATACTTTAGGTTTCGTGTTTATTCAAGACATCTTCAAGTCATGAGACCTACTACTCCCCCGGCCAAGAAAGGGTGACCTGACATTCCATCAGAAGGTCAGTAATATGAGACCACTAATCCCCCACCCTACCTCAGCCTGACATTGTATCAGGTCAGGTCAGTTACATGAGACCCATTCATCCCCCACAGCTCCATGCGAGTGGAAGTACAGTCTTTGCTGTAACACACGGTTTCATTCACGCCCATATCATATAGATTTTTAATACAGTATTACCCCGCCTAACGCGGTTTCACTTAACGCGTTTTATCATATACGCGGTGCCTCGCCAGAGCTGAACTTTCACTTAACACGGATTTTTTCCACATATGCGCGGTGAGTGTCCGGCTCGAGACGCTATTTTTAGATTTGCCCCACCCGCCACCCTGCCTGACTGCCTGTTTTAGCTCATAAAATTCATACAAATTACCCGGCCAGAATATAATTTACATTGCTGGAATTCTTATAATTTGGTGATCATTTTGAATATAAACATCATATATTTTGCATTAGACATACAAATTTTAGATAAAAAATTTTCTCAGAGTAACTATGTTATCTTTTGTGCAAAATATATGACATTTATATTCAAAATATTCCTGGTCTTACAAGGAATCCAGCAATGTCAATTATATTATCCTAACTTTAGTTTGAGGTATTATTTATTAAAATTTAGTGGTTATCCCACACATCTCCTTGGGACGGTTGGTGGGGGGTGGGGGGGAGGGAGGGACCGACCGACCATCTGTTACCCTGTGAAGAATTATTTTTTTTTTTATTAACTGAAGATATTTGTTTTAGCTCATAAAATTCATACAAATTACCCGGTCTGAATATAATTTACATTGCTGGAATTCTTATAATTTGATGATCATTTTGAATATAAACATCATATTTTTGCATTAGACATACAAATTTTAGATAAAAATTTTTCTCAAATTAACTATGTTATCTTTTGTGCAAAATATATGACATTTATATTCAAAATATTCCTGGTCTTACAAGGAATCCAGCAATGTCAATTATATTATCCTAACTTTAATCTGAGGTATTATTTAATACTAAATGTTAAAAACTCTGGAAGGGAGGATTGGTGGGGGGTGGGGGGGAGGGTTGGGACTGACCGCGCGGTTGGAAGAGGGGGGGAGGCAAGGTGGGGTACTTTGATTGACAGATAGTGTCGTGAAGATTATTTTTTTTTTTATTAACTGAAGATATTTGTTTTAGCTCATAAAATTCATACAAATTACCCGGTCAGAATATAATTTACATTGCTGGAATTCTTATAATTTGGTGATCATTTTGAATATAAACATCATATATTTTGCATTAAACATACAAATTTTAGATAAAAATTTTTCTCTAGGTAACTATGTTATCTTTTGTGCAAAATATATGACATTTATATTCAAAATATTCCTGGTCTTACAAGGAATCCAGCAATGTCAATTGTATTATCCTAACTTTAGTTTGAGGTATTATTTATTAAAATTTAGTGGTTTTCCCCCAAAAATTTCTCTGAGAGGGAAGAGCCAGCAGTGTAGTGTGAGAGGGGGGAGGGAGTTGAGTCCATTATTTGAATGGACATTAACTTGGCGACTGTATTTCTCTATTTCTCTTAAGTATTAATTGTGTGCATGTACCATCATAAAATTAAGATGTTATTTTTACTACAACATAGGTATGTGCCTTCAAAAAGTGGAGTTTGGGGGTCGGGCCGGTTTCTATTGGAATTAATCCCATATGTTCTGTTGTTCACTTAACGCGGATTTCACTTAACGCGGGACCCTCTGGGTTCAATTGACCGCGTTAAGTGGGGTACAACTGTATTAAGAAATATTTATTTTACCAAACTTTTATATAAACTATTCTGGTTATTATTGTAAAGAAATGGAGTTTCTAACTTAATTAGAACTGCATTTACAAACTCCAGTAGTTTAGACTCAAGGAAAACATTCCCAGCATCCAGAAACATTCTGGGTAAGTGAGCAAGTGTCTGTGTGTGCAAGATGTCTAGTTTAGACACCTGGAAACTTCTCCCAGTAACCGGAAAAGATTCTGGGAATAAGGAATTTGGGGGGTTTGAGAAAGTCATCTGGTTAGCCGGAAATCTTTCATTCCTGGAAGTGCTCTGCACAATTTATTTTTTATTTTTTTTTAGTTATATATATATATATATATATATATATATATATATATATATATATATATATATATATATATATATATATATATATATATATATATATATATATATATATATATATATATATATATATATAGGGCTAATGAAATATATATGGATCCTCGTGTTTCGAAGCCGGATTTGGTAAAACGTTACTCTGACCACCTACAGTGGGGTATGCTATAACGAACGGATCCTACTACGAATATTCCTATAACGAACGGTTTTACCTATAAAATTGAGAGTGCTATAACGAACGCGGATGAATACGGGACTATTTCGTCTGGCGCATGAATATTGTTGTGCCGCGACCCACAACAAGAGCGTCAGGCGCCATCTTTGTCTCATTGTGTAGCCAGTGCACCACTGTTATTGTTGAAATTTCGTCTTTTGATGTGGAAATTCGCGTTATTTGTATAACTATTTTGTTATACAAGTATACAATTGTAACAATGAGTCGTCCAAAGCAAGTGAGAAAGCTAATAACCCTTGAAACTAAGAAAGAAATTATAAAGAAACGTGAGAATGGAAGAAGCATTGCGAAACTTAGTGATGAATTTGGGATGGCTAAATCGACTATATGTACGATTTTGAAGAATAAAGAGGAGTTAAAAACTGTGCAAGTGGCTAAGGGAATCTTTAGACTTAGCAAAGCAAAGTGTAATGTGATTGAAGAGATGGAAAATTTACTCTTAGTGTGGATAAAGGAGAAAGAAATGGCAGGTGGTAACATTAGTGAAGCTATAATTTGTGAGAAGGCCAGACAATTGTTTGAGGACCTTAAAGCCAAGACTCCCAGTGGAAGTGATAGTGATGTGCCAGTGTTTAGGGGTACCTGCATGCTGAATAACACTAAGGTAAGATAAAGTACCGTATTTTTTACATTTTCCACAGAATTTTTTCAGTGTTAAGTGGTTGTATTTGGGGGCCTGGAACGGATTAATCCTATAACGAACGAATGCTATAACGAACGAGGTTCTGGAACCAATTACGTTCGTTATAGCATACCCCACTGTATATATATATATATATATATATATATATATATATATATATATATATATATATATATACAGACAGACCCCGACTTACGACTGCGTCGGGACTTACGACCGCCTCAGATTTTTTATTAAAAAAAAATTTTTTTTCTTCAAATGACACGCATTTTCTATACCAAACGTTTCCAGTTAATGTAGTCTCCATGTATAATTAGAAAATTATGGGGGCCCCATGTGCATTCAGCTGACTACATTAAAGGTAAGTGCTCAGTCACACTGTAACCATTCCTTATTATTTATTACTTTCACTGTACTGTATCCATTCCTCATTATTCATTACTTTTACTGTACTGTATTTCATTGTAATTATTTATTAAAAAAAAAAAAAAAAAAAAAAAAAAAAAATATATATATATATATATATATATATATATATATATATATATATATATATATATATATATATATATATATATATATATATATATATATATATATATATATATATATATATATATATATATATATATATATATATATATATATATATATACATATATATACATATATATTTTTTTTTTTTTACGAGAATTAGCTCACCCGGGCACAGGTCAAACGACCCACACTGGGGCCTATGGGGCGAAAAAATAAGAACAGAAAGAAATTAAAAATAGAAAAGAAAAATGTTATACTGTATTAATCTACACAACGTAGATGAGGGAAAACCAGCTTTTTAAAGTGAGACAGATTGTATGAGTATGGAAACAGAAGAAGGAAGAGCATTCCACGGTTTGGCTGTGTGAGGAAAGGATGCACTATAATGGGTTATTCTAGTGTGACCGAAATCCACAGAGAAACAGTGGGCACCGCGGGCAAAACATGTGTTAGGAGCCCACGGCCATGCCGGCGGTACACAGAATGCCAAATCCACCGAACATTGCCCGTTAAAGTACCTGTAAAAGAGAGAGAGTGAAGCAACTTTGCGGCGAAGAGAAAGGGAAGAGAGATTGTCAACTAAAGGAGGAGAGTTAATAAGATTAAATGCCTTTGATTCCACCCTATCTAATAGTTGGACAGAAGAAGAGCCACCCCAGATATGAGAGCAGTTCTCCAAGTTAGGACGAATGAATCCCTTATATACTTGAAGCAACTGCTCAGGAGTGAAGTAGCTACGGCATCTGTACAGCATTCCCAACTTTCGGGAGGCATCTTTAACAATGTTGAGGATTGTTCTGGGTAACAGGGATATCACTGTATATGTCTAATCCTGAGTGCCCCACCCAAAAAATTGCATTTTATATTATATAACATCATCCTGCACCCTTTTTTTTTCAAAATGGCAAAAACATAATGACATTGCAACTCTCAAGAGAAATGTGTGGTGGTCGGATGGAAACCTTTGTGTGTTCAGTGTCTCTTGACTCCTCAGCCAGGGTGCACATAAACTGGCTATCTGTTAAGAATTGCCAGTAACTTAAAAAAATATATATATTTAATTTAAATTTAAACTCTCTAAATTTCCATCCAAATTAAAAAATAACATATGACTGTATAAGGCAATGGCAGGGGAACATTCTGGTCTAAAGAAATGCTGATACCTCGATTAGGTATGGAATAGCAAATTTTAGTTTTACACAAAAAATATTGCGAATAATCTACTATAATTCGCCACTACTCCCTTGTTTTTCATCAAATGTGTTTCAAACTTGGTCCTTGTAATAAAGATACACATAGCTACAATATGATTGAACATATTTTAATATGCTGTATCTTGTTTGGTTATAGAAAAAATATTTTATCATGGGAATACCTGTATGCCTTTTGTTTTCTCTCAAAAACTATTGGGTAGTTTTCACTAATACTTACAGGATCTTTGATTTACATGATCTCACATAACATATTTAAAAATCAAGCAATCCATAGAATAGATTTTCACCTCCAGTAGTAAATGGCAGTCAAAGCCCTTTTAAGGAAGGGTGGCTAGGAAGGGCTACGTGTGGAGTTTGATTTGCAATCACTCCTTGTGGTGAGTTCTGGGTAGTAAACTGTATATTAACTAAGAGCTGTAAATTAATGTCCTAGATACCACCTTTTACTTAACGATAAAAGGCTAATACAGCATGCCCTTAAAATTCGCGTATTTTTAATTTGTGGACCTTGATTATTCGCGGATGACACCCTGGATGTATGGCAATGGGTAATCCACTTTCACCAGTATTAAGCAACTTATATATGGAATTCTTTGAGAAGAAACTACTAAGCAACATTTTACCACCTTCAGCAGTCTGGTTTAGATATGTAGATGATGTAATATGTCTCTGACCATGTAATGAGGACCTAATAGCTTTTCTACCACAACTTAACAACTTAACCCCCTCGATCAAATTCACTGTGGAATTAGAGCATGACTTCAAATTACCATTCCTAGACTGTCTGATCCACAGAATAGGTAACACCTTTAAGTTCAGTATTTATAGGAAACCTACTAATGTGTGTTCATACATTCATTATTATTCTGCCCACCATAATAGAGTCAAACAGTCAGTATTTTCATCAATGTTTTTACGTGCTTTGAGAATATGCAGTCCGGAATTCATTGATGAGGAAAATAAATATATCTATAATATTGGCTAGAACCTTAAGTACCCTAAATCTTTCATAGACAAATGCCTTAACATTACTAAGAAATCTTTCTATAGAACCGATCCCAAGCCCATCCATGACCATAAGAATCTAGACTTAAACAACATAAATATAGTGTCAGGACAGGCCAGGAATCCAATGCTCTGTTTGTTCATTTGAGGGATAATAAGCATTGCATTGACTGGGATAATGCCTCCTCAATATTACCTTGTAATTCAATTGACAGTAGGAACATTATAGAATCTAATCTCATTAAACATACCGAATCCGTCATCATGAATTTGAGTAATGGTATGTACAAATTGGATAATTTCGTAATTAAGAAGATTTGTAACCAGGTGAGAAGGTTGGGTCAGCTTACCCTCTTACCTGACTACCTACCGCTACGGTGCTTTTGTGAAGATTAGTAGGGTCATTACCTATACCTGACCACTGTGGACTTGATCTCACCCTCCTCTGTATATATACCCTGTTTTGTACTTCTCCTTAGTCTGTACTCACCCCTGAAGATGTGAATTACACGAAAGCGCTTGGGAACTTCGTGTTTTCTTTTTCCTTGTGGTTATCAGCATATATATATATATATATATATATATATATATATATATATATATATATATATATATATATATATATATATATATATATATATATATATATGTGATTTACTTACTTCAGGCCCAATAACGTGTGTGTCCTGAATCAGTGTCTTGAGATGGAGAATTTCTTCACGCAATTCTCTGATGAGTTTTACATTTGGGTCTTCATTAATTGTTGGTTTATTTATGATATTCTTAGCTCGGTTGGCATACCTCAACGTGCTCAACGTCTCACCATAATTCACATTAGCAGGAGATATTGCTAAAAGAAAAAATTACAGGTACAATAGTAATAATATGTGTAAGAAAAAATTGTAACAACAACAATTATAATACTGTAAAAATAAAAATTTTCTTCTCACTCATTCAAACCTTTTCTTCTATAATAAAGGTTCACTAGCATCAAGAGCAAACACCCACAAGATTATTCTCCTTTTATTCACTGTCACTCATTTATTCTTAATGCTGTAATGGATGTGTTCTCAGAAGATACTTTCCTTCCACAAACAGGACCCCAAAATCTGTCTGGTTTACCCTTGTGCCTTTATATAGCTTAATATCACTCATAAGCACCATGTCATGTTATTTATTTTCATAATTATACATCACTGCTTTCTGGATGTCCATCTTCTTTTCTATTACAGTACCCTGTATTGTATCTTTTGCCCTCTTTTTATCTCCTTTTTATGTTTCCCTTTGCCCTCCTACAATCCACCTCAATATCAAATACTCTTTCAAATAATCTTTTGCATTACATTCTCTCAATATATCCATATCACCTGGAAAAATCCTGATCCTCTGCCCAATATTTCTCTCACTTTTGCATATCCATATTATTATTCTCTGCATGCTATTTACCCTACATATTGCTATCGAGCACATCATTCTTGTCCCTTCAAATAAACAACTTCTCTCACATACAAAGTTTGTATTTCTTACCCATAGAGTACGAGGTTTGTCCGGAAAGTATCCAGCCATTTACTATTAAAAAAAATTTTGCTTACCTAGGACAATGGTGCCTTACTCCCCTTCAAAGTACTACCCTTGGGACCTCACACACTTCTCCCAGCATCCCTTCCACTTTTCAAAATAGTCTGCAAAGTCCTCTTTCAGGATCTTCATCAGCTGACTCGTCACATTCTCCTTAATTTCGTCCACGGTCTGAAATCTCCTCCCTTTCAACGGTGATTTTAGCTTTAAGAAAAGCCAGAAGTTGCAGGGAGCCAAGTCTGGGCTGTAAGGGGGCTGAGAGACCTGGGTGATGCAATGTTTTGCCAAAAAACCCTGCACGAGACATGAAGAATGGGCAGGCGCGTTGTCATGATGAAGCTGCCAGTCACCACCTGCCCACAGCTGCAGTCGTTTTCTTCTTACCACATCCCTCAGCCGGCAAAAAACTTCGATGTAGTACTCCTTCGTTATTGTTTTTTCTTGGTCAATGTAAATGCGACGGTCACACAGTACCCACGCTCACTCAACGGCGTCTGCCGGTTAACCGAGTTGTCCCATGGGAGTGTGGCTGTTCATGCATGCACAGTACGGTCCTCTCTGAGTGGCTGTCAAGTTACATCACGGCCGCGTGACCAGTTCTCACAATATTCACAATGGCTGGATACTTTCCGGACAGACCTCGTAAGTTCTTTTGTACAGTCCTCGAGAATAGTATAGTATGGCTAGTGCTACTTGTGAACAGGGCTGTGCCCTTCAGAGGGCAGAGTTAGAGAGGGTCAAGGAAGAAATCTTGAAATTAAAGGAGGTGATAGCGAGGATGAAGGAAGAAACGAGACAAGGAAAGCCAATGTCTGACAAAAACTCAGGCGAATGGAAGGTTGTGAGGAGAGGGACGACCAAACTGGTGGTGAAAAAACACACAAAGGATACAACAACAACAGCTAAGTGTACCAACTCTTTCTGTCCTTTGATAGACGAATTGGACGTTAGCATAGTCAGAAACAAGGCTGACAAGGACGGTACGAAAACCTTAATTGTTGGCAATTCCCAGGTACGGTACCCGGAAAGAGTTTTTTGTGGTAAAAATGAAAATAGGATGAGGGTGTGTTTGCGAGGAGCTGGGGTGGGGGATATAGTTGACAGGATGGACAATATCTTATCTGGTAATGGGAACAAACCCATTATCTGCCTCAGTGCAGGAGGCAATGATATTGGCCAGTGTAGGAGTGAGGAGCTTCTTGATAGTTCAAGACAGCTATAGAACGTATTAGGTCGAAGGGAGGGATCCCTATCATATGTGGTGTCCTGCCTAGGAGGGTTGGCAATGAATGGTTGTCAAGGGCAGTTGGTGTCAACAGCCATCTTGACAGATATTGCAAGTCAATATCAGTCCCATTCATTGACAACCGGGACAACTTTTACGGCAGAAGGGACCTTTATGCTAGGGATGGGGTGGCAACCCTGGCTGGCTCTCTCGAGAGGGCAGTTCAAAAGATGTCGAAGTCTTTAAACTACTAGAACATATGAGCACGGGGGTGGAGGAGACTGCAGTGGGAGTGGGTAAACAAAGTGAAAGGTTACAGGGAAATAGTGCTAGGAATGATGACAAAACTAAATTAGGCAGGGAGTTAAAACCTAAACGTGACAAAGAGAGGACTCAGAACACAACAAACTTAAATGTCTAGTACACAAACAGTAGAAGTATGAGAAACAAATTGGATGAAATCAGGGCGTTGGTATGTACCGAAAAAATCTAAATAATAGCATTCACCGAAACATGGATAAACCTAGACTCAGGTGAGGTTACCTATCGAATACCAAATTGCAGGTTACAAATTATTCCATAGCGATAGGCAGGTTAGGAAAGGAGGCGGAGTAGCAATCTATGTCAGGGATAATCTGAAGTGTGAAATAAATAAGGAAATAAAAACTGAGCGGAATACAGAAACAATTTGGATAGAATTACAGTCGGCCCTTAACATACACGGGTTTATAATACACGGATTTGTAAATACGCGGATTGCTCCTCCGGAGGAATATTCTGTACATTGAAGTAATTGAAGTACATTCAAATTGCGCGCCATTCAACTTGCGCGCGGCACCGAACACGGGACACTGCCCGCTCCCGCAACCTCACACACACACACGCATAGCTCTCCCTCACTCAGTCAGTCTCGCTGTAACCACACTTGTGTTGACATCAGCATTGTAGTTGCAAAAATATTACATTTCCGTGAATGTATTATATCAAGCACAGTATGAATAGAATATCACTAATATAAGAGTATTTTAACCGAAAACTACTAAAAAAACGAATAACATATATTGAACATTGGAAGGTTAGGTAAAGTCTTTTGTTTTCATGTAGTTTATCCTAATTTACATTGAAATGCATTACGTTTCAGCAAAACTACTATTTATTTCTGAGAATATGGAAATGTAATATTTTGCTGAAATGACGTACGTATTACAGTGGAAAGTGACGAAAGCAATGACTCGCTTTCTTTCGTTCAAAAGATGTTACCGTAATTGCTTTTCGAATGGTTTTCAGTTTAAAAACTGTTGTATTACAATAATATTCTATCCTAATTCACTTGTGATGCAACAGTTTTTTTAACTGAAAACCATTCGAAAAGCGATTACGGTAACATCTTTTGAACGAAAGAAAGCGAAAGTAATTGTTTTCGTCACTTTCCACTGTAATACGTTTTCAGCAAAAATATTACATTTCCGTGAATGTAGTATATCAAGCACAGTATGAATATAATATCATTGTAATATAACAGTATTTTAACCGAAAACTATTAAAAAAATGAGTAACATCTCTTGAACATTGGAAGGTTAGGTAAAGTCTTTTGTTTTCGTCATGTATTTTATCCTATTTTACATTGAAATACATCACGTTTCAGCAAAACTACTATTTATTTCTGAGAATATATTCATTCAGGCACAGTTTAGGTAAAATATACATGTGCTGTAACATTTTTTTAATTGAAAACGATTCGAAAAACACGTACCCTCTAGCCCTGTTCAAGGAGAAGACTGGGAGGAGCTGTTTGGTGCTTAAGACGATAACAAGGAAAATGATTTTGATGGATTTCAATGAAAATATTCAGAAAGACCCTGGCACTGTCAAGGAAAGTGGCTGCTGAAGGCTTCCGGGACATGGCAGAGGACGAGATTAGGGAGCTAATTGAAGAGCACGACACTGAGCTGACCGAGGAGGATCTACAGGAGTTAGTAGATTCAGGCAAAGAAGAGGAAGCGATAGGGAAAGAGGATGAGGAAAAGCACCAAGAAATAATGTTGGAGAAGTTGGGGGAGATGACCAGGAATATTGAGGCACTGAAAAACCTGGCCTATAGTATGGACCCCTCCATGGTGCGTGCCCTGAAATTCATGCGAGGGATGGATGACGTTTTCGCTCCATACAAAAACACCATGGAAGAAATGAAAGAAAGAGACGACAACTCCCCATCACCATGTTCTTTCATCACTGAAGGAGAGATTTAACACCATCAATCACTGGCGGCAGTGAGGAAGCAGCTGAATCCACCGTCGCCCCCACTTCACCACCCGTTATGGAATTGAGTGACGAGCCCGATGACCCCCGTCCTGTCGTCGAGGATAGGTACTGTACAGTAAAGTGAAATTTTTATCTCTTTTTTTTTTAATAGCTTTTCTTGCCATGTTTATTGTTTGTAAAAATGCACAGCACAGCACAGTTCAGTACTGTACATAGGAAGTGGAGGTGCAGTTATTCACAAAACATTTGTGTTCATTGTCGGCAGTAGTGACAGGGAGGAGGCAGAGGAGGTGGAGGAGGTAGCGGAGGGAGCGAGTTGGGAGGAGTGGTGACCTTGGACGCGGGAGCAGGGACGAGTGGAGATGCCAGCCGGTACATTACGGGTGTATTAATTGTTTTTATAGCTATTTTTGCATTTTAATATTAAATATTGTACATTACGTTTCAACAAAACTACCATTTATTTCTGAGAACATGGAAATTTAATATTTTTGCTGAAATGATGTACATATTACAGTGGAAAGTGGGATAAAATTGTGACGAAAGCAATGACTTTCTCTTTCTTTCATTCAAAAGATGTTACCGTAATCGCTTTTCGAATGGTTTTCAGTTGTGGGATTATAAGGCTAATGATAGGATAGAATATTATTGTAATACAGTACGAGTACAACAGTTTTTTAACTGAAAACCATTCGAAGAGCAATTATGGTAAAATCATTTGAATAACGAAAGAAAGCGAAAGTCATTGTTTTCGTCTTTCCACTGTAATATGTACGTCATTCCAGCAAAAATATTATATTTCCATATTTATTTCTGAGAATACCTATATTCATTCAGTCACAGTTAAGGTAAAATATACTTGTGATGTAATATTTTAATGAAAATACCAGGTATTTAGAAATACGGTATCGTAGTTTTCTTTTGTTTCAAATTTAATTAACAAAGATTGATGTTTCAAATGTAATGAACAAAAATTTATGTACAGTATCTATAAATAAACTTTAAAAAATGAATACTTTATGTTTTACATCGTCCTGTGCATACCATACCATGCATTTGGCTACTTTGGGCTTGCTATGATGACGCAAGAGATCTGCCCTAGCAACTGTACCGACACTCACAGCTGGTGGTGTGTTGGTGTGTCATTTCCATTGTTTACTGGTAGTTACTGGTAAATATTTTTCAACCTAACGAAACTATTACCCGTTTAGAGGTCGACCCCCAATTTTTTACCAAATAACTTGGTCTTAAAAACTTGAACTACACACAGGTATATACGGTAAATAAGGACATGGGGGGCCAGGTTTTTTTTTGGGGGGGGGGGCCAGCACATATACGTGGATTTTTAACGTCCACGGGTATATCTGTTACGTAACCCCCGCGTATGTTAAGGGCCGACTGTAATCGATAGTAGGGAAAAATTAATTACAGGAATAATATATAGACCTCCTAATCTTGATAGAGTTAATGAGCGACTTATTTGGGATGAAATGAGCAGGGCTTCCATACATAGCAAAGTCTGCATAGTAGGAGACTTTAACTTTAGCCAAATAGATTGGAATGACCTTACGGGTAACTGAGAATCAGAGAATTTTCTTCAAACAATCCAGGACTGTTTCCTAAGCCAACATATAACCGAACCCACCCGGGGTAATAATATACTCGATTTAGTTCTTTCAAACAGAGAAAACCTCGTTAGTAATGTTGAAGTATGGAACGAACTTGCTAACAGCAATCACAAAGAAATAAGATTCCAGTTAGAATTTCAAGGCAGCTGCAAGGAAAATTCCACTAAAGTCCCAGATTTCAGAAAGGCAAACTTTGATAGTTTGAAGAGGCAGCTGAGAGAAGGGGTATCACGCCTGGGGGTAAATTACATGACCTCACATGAGGTGATCACACACAATGTACCCACAGAGGGTGACCTCACCTTACCTGGAGACCTGATGGTTGAGGATGACCTGATAATGAGATCTGAGGTTGACGAGTTCCACAACAATTTAAATAATGAGTTACTTAATGCACAAAAGCAGAACATACTATACAGAAAACTCAGATCAACCAACAATGACCCTAAATGGATAAATAATTATTTAAAGAATATTATTGGACAAAGGAAGGCTATAGGTAGGAGAATAAATCGTGGTGAAGTTTACCTCTGAGATTATTATATGGTATTGGCCGGTAGGGTTAAGACCGAGATAAGAAAAGCAAAGAGGAATAATGAACTGAAGGTACCAAGGGAGGCGAAGTCAAACCCCAAGGGATTCTATTAAATGTATCAAACCAAAACACGAGAAAAGATTGGACCAATACAGTCAGATACTGGCGAGCTAACTGATAACGACGGAGAAATGAGCAATAATCTGAAAAAATACTTTTCAACAGTTTTCACCACCGAAAATTTAAACATGATACCCAAGGCACCGACTCTATACAGAGATAGTGAAGAAAATAAGTTAAGTGAGATAGTAGTGACTAGTAACGATGTTAGTAAGCAAATAGACAAACTAAAGCCTAATAAGTCACCAGGTCCCGATGAGATATTTGCTAGAGTATTAAAGGAATGTAAGGAGGAGCTTAGTATGCCCTTAGCAAAGTTGTTTAACATATCCTTGAAAACGGGTGCAGTACCAGAATCCTGGAGGATAGCGAATGTAATACTGATTTTCAAGAAGGGAGATAGATCACTATCCTCTAACTACTGTCCAATCAGTCTAACATCAATTGTTGGCAAATTACTGGAAGCAATCATTTCAAACTCTATTCGAAATCACTTGGAGAAGCACAAGTTGATCAATGATTCCCAACATGGCTTCACAAGCGGACATTCGTGTCTAACTATTAACATTCTTTTCATCTGTTTTCGAATCAGTGGATAAGGGGCACAATTATGATGTGGTATATCTCGACTTTAGCAAGACCAGACTTTAGTTGTGGCCACGGAAACTTAATAACTTATTGCATGTACTCAATGGTTAAAGCAGAAATTATCTTAAAAATATTCCAGAAATGTGATGAATAAGAGTTTTCAATATGGTCATGGCTCATCAATTATGAAATAACTGTATATTCAGTATATACTGTCCATTACAAAAGCTTTGACATTCATGGTAGCATGCAGAATATTGCTACTTCTACATATGGTTTGTATAAAAGACAGAACAGGTTAACATTGAAAAGAGACTCTTCATGTTACTGTTTGACTATACCAAAAACCCTGTTGACTTGTAATCATTTAAACTCACTTGCAATCATGATAGTTTTAGAGTTGCCACCAAGGGAATCTTTCAACAGCCAGGTAAGGACAGAATCACGGTATGGAATAAAGACGTTTTTCCCTGAGGTGGCCTTGGCTGCCTGTTCTGCTAGAGCACTGATGACTGAGCCCAGAGTCACTAGGGACTTGTTGATATGCGCCCCTTCTTTAAGCCTCTGCCCAGTTGCTCCCGTTGCATCTGCTCTTTCACTGAAAAATATTTTTATTATTTAAATATCAAATCATTTAAATGCTCTGGGAAAGCTTTCTATGTGACAGACTATAATGATTGCAAGTAAAAAAGCATAACACACAATTTGGCATTGAGTAAGGAGTAAAAAGGCAAACAAGAAGATGACTTGATGAATTACAAGGAGAGATTGCAATGGAAAGAACTCGTAACATAAAGGTCAATGGAGTGTACACTGAAGAAGGTGGGACATGTACACTAATTGGAGGAGAGAAGATTGGTGAGGAGAGTGAGTGGATGAAGGGAGGAGTCAATGAAGAGGAAGTCCTAGACTGAAATGGGAGAACTGACTTGAAAAATCTTGAGAATGGCTGACTATGATGGAATCAGGAGGCTATGGCAATAGATAGAGAAGTGGAGGAGAATGTTAAAACTGGCAGGAGCTAAGCATTGAAAATGAAACCTGCCTCTGATTTTTCTTCTTTATTTTTGTTATTTATTATTTCACCACTTACCAGCTTACTAGCCATTTGGGCAGTTGGAGGAAGCCTGTGATGGTAGGTAAGGTCACACTGGATATAGCCTAGTAGACAGTAATGTCAAGGCTAAGGTCATCTCAGGCCACCTAGTCAGTGATCATTATGCAATACTTACTGAATACACTGTTACTGATGTCAAGTGTGAACCCCATCCTAAGCTCAGAATTAACATCCTAGATAATCTGAAACTGCACTTCAAGGCTTACATCCACAGATGGTATGCTGGATATACACCTGGGTCAGTGGATGAATTTTGCTGTAATCTTGAAAATGTCATTACCACATATTATACCACCCGGGTTAAGTCAAGGAAGAAGGGGGGGCAGCACTAAACCACCTCTGTGGACACATGACCACATCCTCACCAAAGAAGGAGAGAAGGTAGAACAGCTTGCCAACACTTATAAGCAAAATCTAACGAGTAATAACCTCCTGGCATTCCTCAAAGTTAAAAGAGCATTTCGTGAACTCAAAGGTCAGGTGAGAAACACCTATTAGGAACAATTCTTACAGGGGATTAATAGAACAACCACTCTAGCAGAAGTGTGGAACAAAATTAGAGCCATTCCCAAGTCACCCATCAAAGTCCAACTTCATCACAGCCCTGCAGAATATGCTGAAATGCTATTAGGCCAATGGTCTTGTGTGTCACAAATCACTTTCCTTCCTCCTGACATACAGAAATATCTTAAAACCACACACATTAATAGGGGTTTCAATATTGAGATAGCCTGTTCCTCACCAGACCTTACCGACCAGTTTCCTATAACGCACCACGAACTAACAACAGCATTAATAAAAGGTGAATCATCCTCTCCTGGTGAGGATGGCATAACCTATAACACCCTGAGATTGTTAAATGAGGTCCCTAACCATCCACTGCTTTACCTGTATCAAATGAGCCTCACACAGCATATTCTGCCTAAGACATGGACTCATGGAAACATTGTAACAATCTCTAATGCTAACTCTCCAAACTTCAGGCCCATTTCACTCACATCCTGTATGTGTAAAGTCCTTGAAAGAGTTGTTCTCAACCGTCTCATGTTTCAAGTCAAAGACAGACTGGCCCCTAATGTGTGTCAATAGATTTGTTAAACTAAAAAAAAACCTCTTCATCAATGAAAGGAGTAGCAAAGGCAGTAAGTAATAATGTGGGAGTTGATAGTGATGAGAGAGATGGTGATAAGAGGTGATGTGCATATTTCTATGGTAATGGTTTGCTTCACTGCCAAGTACTAGTGATCAGTTGACTACCATAATCACCCCCAAATGGCTCACACCACCATAATCACCCCAACACCTCACCACCATAATCATCTACAACACCTCACCCCTGCATGACCTCAGTACTCACCACAAAAGTAATCATCCTATACACCACCACCTTAATACTCAACCCAACCCATGAAAAGAAAATCAGTGCTAATAATACTATAGTATTTACATGCTAACCTGGTCTGTAAGCCACACCCCCCTCCTATAAAAATAACTGTTTGGTTCATAGAAAATGTTCGTGTAGCTGTCCATTTATTCAAATTAAATGTGTTCACAACTGGTAAGCAGACCTGTTATTCTCTAAAATAATGTTAAATATCTGGACTGCCAAAATATAAATGATTTCAAGGCATTAGTACTTTATTAAAGATTTTTGAAAATTTTAAATATTTATCATAAAAGGTTAAGTCAATGATGAAATTCGCTTTCAAATGAAGCCTTTTCATTATTTCTTTGTTTTGCACCAAACATAAAGCAAACAGAAACAAATGACACCAAACATAACACAATAGGTAATGAACTACAGTTTCTACAGCTGGATATATCCCAAATCATTTAAATACAACAGATAAAACTTGATAAAAATACGTGCAGTCCACAGGGAGGTAAAACCAGTACCTCATAGAAATCATGGTCACTGCTCTTCTCAAGCCACAAAAGAGATGAAGCCACAAAAGAGATGAAGATAACTCACCTTCCAGCTAAATCAACAAGATGAATTTTTGATCGGGTTTCTAATGGAGTATCTGACAATAATTTTGCCTGAATGAAGGTTACAGTAAATATAGCATGACTTCTTGAACTCGTGTCATTCATGTGGGTGCTTGCAGTAGTCCGATGTGAGTTCCCTCTTCTCATCAACTCCTATAAAAGAATATTATTATTACAACACACAGTGGTTATACTTACGTATAATAAAACTATAGTGAGCAAGAGTTTATCCTTGGTTCTGGCATTGAATGAAAATAATTAGGGAATAAGCTTTTTTGGCATTCTTACTTAAGTTATCTGCTCAATGCCTGACACATCCCCTTTTTTAGTCCAGGGGCTTGAGGCTGGTTGCCTCACCATCTTCACCTTCACGAGAGTTACTTCTCTAACCTGGCTAGTCACCTTAGCAGTAAATGAGGCACTTGAAGACACGGTTTCACGAATTTCCCTCTCCCGAATCTTAATGGTACTCACGCTTGATTCATTCCGTGCGTACCTCCGTGCCACAGCAGCGACAGACATGCCGCCTTTTATTAAGTCTAACACGGCCACTTTTTCTTCCAGGGTCATCACAGCATTGTTTCTTCACTGGAGGGCCAGAGGCAGAGATTGGCTTGTGTTTGGGCATTATGAACGAGTATGAGAGAGGTTTAAGTGCACTAAATTGACACACACGAGAGGCAACTGTTACTCCCAACAAGACACGTGCGGCAACTGAGACAGACAGAGGTGGCCAGGTGGGATGGCAAGGTGGTATGTTTGGCGGGCTTGCGACCCATTTTGAAAGTTTTGAGCTTGAAATTGGAAATTGTAATCTAATTTTAATCCGCGTATAGTTGAAACTACGTAAGAAAAATACGTTTAAGTTGCGAGTCTACTGTATAGTACTGTACAATGTATATACCTCATAGGTAAAAAATGTCATTCAAGACATCTTCAGGTCATAAGACCCCACTAATCCCCCACCCAACAGTGGGTGACCTGACATGGCATCAGGTTAGGTTAGTAACCTGACCCAATAATCTCCCACCCAACCTTCATCACAAGTGTTAAGACATGACTAGTTATGTATGCCTATTCTAGGCTAAGATGACAGGATCTGCTGGAGTACAATATACAGTCTCTTCTCAACTTACGACATATTCGACTTACGACAACCCAGACATACGACGGCCATGGTTGTATAAAATATTTTTCACATTACGTATTTTTGAGTACCGACGTTAGTGATCGCGCTGTGTGCTGACAAAATTTTTGTTTGTAATTCACTTTATAATGGCTGGCAAGCGTAAAAGTGAGAGTTCTCGTGGTGCTGAGAAGAAAAAGAGACACCCATTTTAGAATTTCTATGTATTAATTTCGCCTTTTCAACTTATGACCTGGTCATCGGGACGGAACCCCGTCGTAAGTCGAGGAGACTGTATACAGTACATAAGAACACTTGCCAACAGTGCATAACAAAGACATGACTGATCGCCCAAGTGACTAATGAGCCGATCAGTGGAGAAGAGGATAAAAGTAACACAGCTCTATTCATTCCCGTATCGTATAGAGCTTTTAGTTTTTTTAATATACTTATTTAACCAAACTTTTAAATATTTAGATAAAGTATTCAGGATTATTTTGATAAAAAATGGTGTCGAACAAAATTAGAACTGATTTTACTGACTGTGGTATCAACATTTCTTACTTTTTTCTTCTTTTTTTTTATAAAAGAATGGAATTCCCATCACTATATCATATAGAAATATTTCGTTTAAGGATCTTATTGGAAATGTTCAGTAGAGAATTTATTAAGGATTATTATGGTATCAAATTCATCTCCCTATCACAATTAGCCACGCTTGAGAAAGGACGGGGGGCTTTGACCAGGCGACCCTTCCCCAAAACACCACTCACACATACACCCCTACATCACACACAAACACACCCTGCAACAACCACCCACACACACCCTCCAACTACCACACACACATTCCAACACCTCTCACACACCCCCAGCAAGGGAATTAGGACAGCAAGCATAAGGAGTGAAGGTCTTATTGTATGACATATTTGCATGTGTGACTGCATAGTCGTGAGTTAAATATCAGCTGTTGAAGAGAGCTTGGCAATACTCATTTCCACTACATCTCTCTAATTACCCACACCTTTCTGCTTTCTCACTCCATATTTTAAAATGCAATGTTACGTAATGTTGAAGGGATACAACTTTGCTCATTTATACTTATATCTGTACTTATCACAATCTCTCAAAAAATTCTTTAGTGTTTGTGTTTATTCAAGACATCTTCAGGTCATGAGACCCACTAATCTTCCACACAAGAAAGGGTGACTTGAAATTCCATCAGGTCAGTAATATGAGACCACTAATTCCCCACCCTACCTCCACCTGACATTGCATCAGGTCAGCTTAATTACATGAGACCCACTAATTCCCCACAGCTCCATGGGAGTGGAAAATAAGTCTTTGCTATAACACACAGCACCATTCATGCCCATATCCTATAGATTTTTTTATTTTCAAATAAATATATTTAATCACACTTTTAGGTAAACTATTCTGGATTATTATACTGTGGTCCCTCGGTTAACGAATGGTTCGGTTAACAAAATTTCGGTTAATGAATTACCTCCCATAAGAATCTTCAATTCGGTTAACGAACAAAAATTTTATTAATGAAATCCTTACGAACATCACGTTGTGTTGTGAGCATCAGCTGATGGACTAGTCTGCCAATTCAGTAATTCAGTTTACATTCGTTTCCAGTGGAGTAAACATAAAAAAAGTTGTGCTCTTTAATATTTGTGCATTTTTTATATTAAAATTATTAGTCATTCTAAAATTTAGCCATCCAAGCTCTGTCTACATAAAGTTTTTCAACTATTATTTTTGGCTCGATATATGTAACTTTATTCATTTATTGAAACTCATTTACATGCATACACTGTCCTAAGGGCAAAGCTGTATTGTACATGTAATCAAAACAATGTACAAAATGAATACAAAAATTTTAGTCTAGTGCAAACTATTGCATGTTTACATTCAAATTAATCACTATCATATAAGAATTCCAGCCATGTAAATTATATTCTCCTCAGTCACTTCTATGAAATTTTATAATAAAAAAAACAAAAATGCAATCTAAAGGAAATAAATAAACAAATAAATACTTCACTAGACCTTCGGCACCTAACTGTCAAACATGTCACTGTCACCCCTCCTTCCCTCCCTCCCTACCCCCCACCCTCCCAGCAAAGGTTTGGTGGTTTTCAGTAGGCTTACAGTTTTTATCTTATATGATATCTCAGACTAAAGTTAGGAGAATATAATTTGCATTGCTGGAATCCTTGCAAGACAGTGAATAATTTTAATATAAACGTCATATATTTTGCACAACAGATAAAAATGTTAGTACATTAGTACATTTTATAATGTAAAGTTTTTTAACTGTATTTTTGGGTAGATTTACATAAATTTCGTCATATATTTTCATTCATTTACATGCACACACCATACTAAAAGAAAAGTAAAAGAAATAAATGACCTAAAGCAAACCTGTAGTGCACATGTACTAACGGTATATAAAACTTTCATAATGGCATGAATCTCATAAAAAGAGAGAAACTCATATTAGTGGCAGCCAGGTAATATCTTGGGTTAAGCAGAGTTGTAACCCACACACTTAATGGGTAAAATCACATATGTCTCCATGGAAAGTTGCCAGGTTATAAAACCTCCCAAATGTGATAGTTATTCTAACCTGTATATCATGATACTGATGGACCAGATGGCAGGAGAGATCCTGAACGTATGGGCCAAGCTTGGGGTGTTCTCTGACACGAAGGGAGTGAGTGTTGTTGTGGGCACCTTGTCTCAGTAAGTCCTTTACTCGTTCATTGTAGATTTCTAAGTAACTCACTTCAACTCTGTTTGTTAAAAGAAATTTGATGCATATAGAGATATAAAAAAATAAAATAAATAAATAAAAAATCTTGAAAATTGTGGGCTCATATACAAATTTAGTAAATATTATCTATGTACCTGTGTATCAATTCTAAGTAGAGTACAGTAACCCCTTGTTATTGACAGGTTTGTGATTCGCGGTTTTGACTATTCGAGGTAAGAAGATGGTGGCTAGCTTACGAGCCTCTCCTGCTGCACAACGAGTCACCCCCACTAGCCCGCAGCATCTCCTCTTCCTTGTTTGCACTCAACCATTGCCTGTGATGCAGCATCTCTTGTGTAGTGTTCAAAACTTTAGAGTTTCTGTGTAAAATGGCCCCTAAAAGACTGCCTAGTGATGCTAGTGGAGTGAAACATAAAAGGCAGAAGTCAATGATGACCCTGACAAAGAAAGTTGAATTATTAGATAAGTTAAAAGAGGGGATGAGTGCTGCTGCAGCTGGTCAGTTATTTGGTATAGGTATACAGTAGTGCACTAAGGTACATGTAGTATAAGTTGCTATTCGCGGTTTTGCCTATTCGCACCGTTCCTTGGAAACTAACCCCTGCAAATAACAAGGGTTTACTGTATAAGAGTTAAATACTTAGCAGTCAATCGTTAATAGAAAGCAGTGAAACTCGACATAGTGCAGTTTTAATCAAGTGGATACAGTATAGTCTCGGTTTATGCAGTCAATTAAACCCGTGGAGGTCCGAGTAAAATGAGAAACGTGTAAACGAAATAACAGAACATATGAGATTAATTGAAATAGAGACTGGGCCGACCGCCAGACTACCCTTTTTCCAACACAATACATACGTTGTAGTAAAAATAACATCTTAATTTTATGATGGTATGCACACACAATTAATATTTAAGAGAAATATCAATAATATTAGGTTTTTTAACACTTATGTTAGTAGAGGAGATGGCTGGGCACACGGGGATGGGGGGTTGGTTCCGAGGCAGAGGGCAGATTATTGGCCCTCACCTGTATCACTATCCACCACAGAGGCTTGCAGGGCCTCTTTGTCAAACCCCTCAAAGTCCATATCCTCACTATCACTGACTTGGGCTGGCTGTGGTGGGTGGCGGGTGAAGAACTCGGTAATGTTTTGTTGACTGGGCAACCTTATGCGCACCTTACCCGCGCCGCTTCCCGCATAAATGATGGAATGTACCGCGTAACTAATAATTGCCGGTCTGGCCAGGTGCCGCGTAAATGACTAAACACGCAAAGGAAATCCGCGTAAATCGAGACTATACTGTACATCGCAATCCCAAGGTTTCTTATATCCACTGCTGATATGCTGTTTCCCAAAGTGTGAAGGCTACTAGAGTATACTGTACAGTAAAGCCTCGAATAACGACGGTAATGTGTCCTCCAATATTGCAGTGTAAGATGAATCATCGTATCGCAAAACATTAATTACCATTAGAATAAAGCAATAATAATGAGATGCATTCCCAAGTGTGACCTTTTCATATCTTTTGTGTTGCTTTTTACCCTCTTGTCCCCCCAAAACAATACAATTAATGAAAATTGCAAACTATATTCTTTAAATAATGTTTCTGAATGCACCTTATACAATATAAATGAATAATAATATGGTCACACAAGAGGAGATGGGATGCCATTGTTTTCATTTAAGCTTACAGTCGGGAGTCCGGGACGATAGTTCTACACGAGAAAATTACGAAAATAAGACCCTGGTTTTAGCTGTAGTAAAATTAATGTAAAAAAATTAATATAAATGTTTTAAGTAATGTTATCTAATGTTAATAAATGGAACCATAGAAGTAGCTACCCACTAATGGTAAAGAAAAAAAAGTGAGATGGATTGGGAACGCCAACATATACATGCGAATTTAAGGATACTGCGTCATTTATCTTTTAAAGAATGTGTACAAAAGATTCATTATTGTTTATTACTGAATATGTATTTGATTGAATTTATCTTTATATATGCAAAATGAACAATACAATTCATTAATAATACATAGAATATTAAAACACACAAGAGGATAAGAGAAGGCATTGTTGTCAGTGTTTACACCCATAATATCAGTTATCCACCTGAAACTGAAGAAAATAAGACCCTGGTTGTTGTTGTAGTAAAATTAATGTAAAAATATGCATATTTTAACTAATGTTTTTAATGTACAGTAAAGAAACCACTGATGTTAAAGAAAAATAAGTGAGACTGATAGTGGAACGCCAATGTATTCGTGCGCACTCAAGGAAACAGTCATTTATCTTAAGAATATGTACACAAGATTCATTATTGTTTATTACTGAATATGTATTTGATTGAATTAATGTTTATATATGTGAAATGAACAATGCAATTCATTAATAATACGTAGAATATTAAAACACACAAGAGGAGACATGACGGAATTTTTTTCGTGAGTGACTATGGTTCTACAACATAAGAAACTGAAGAAAAATAAGACCCTGGTTGTGGCTGTAGTGAACTTAAATTTGAAAAATTTGAATACCTGTATGTATGTTTTAAGTAATGTTATTTAATGTTAATAAATGGAACACTAGAAGTAACTAACCACTAATAGTAAAGAAATAAAGCGAGACGATTGGGAACGCCAACGTATGTACAGTAAGTGCGTACATGTGAAAACAGTCATTTCTCTACATATGAATATGAGAGCAACACTTATTTACTGTTCATATATGTTTTAAATAATATTTACAAAAGTAAAACAAAAATTCTACTCACCAATGGTGGAAAAGTCTAAAACATAAGGACAGCCAATGAATATTGTGCGAATTTTTACTCAGAAGACGAAGTTATCAGGTTCAACTCAGGCTGAAACTGTAGCTTTCCATAAAGCTGTTGCTGAAACTGATACTGAACCTGAAGTTGTTGTTGAAGCTACTTATGAGGCTGAATTTTATGGTGTAGCTGAAGTTGATGGTTTAGGCCTTCGAATAATAAAGCTGTCGAAAGAACCTTGCACAGCTGGTTTCTTTTCTCATTATACATCGTTATGTAGAGGTCATTTGCATGTATTTAAATTTTAATGCTTTGTTCTGTTAATGGATCCACTTCAGAAAATATGTTCATTGCTTGCTCCATATAATATCCACAGACCTCTCGCCTTTTTCATATCGTTTTAACACACCTAGTTTCTCGCCTAAGCTTATACACTTTCTATTCGCTTTTGAAACAAAACTACCATCACTTGCTCTCTTGCTCATGTTGAATAAGGATGCAAAAATGCTGTAAGAAACCTGGGAAAGTTTTTCTCCTTTTCCTGTTCAGATTCAGATGCGTGAAAACAAAGGGCATCGTCAGCTGCGATTGTTTAAACTAGTGATACTGGCGTCACCACTAACAAGCCCGGCAGCCTCTGTGCGCAAGACGTGTGTTTTTTTTTTTAATAACGGGTCTTAGATATGAATCTTCGTTAGTTGAACCATCGTTATCAGAGGCTTTACTGTACTAACTATGGTACAGTATACCTTCCAATTCACTTTTTCACATGTAGTATACTTTTATCATAATGTTTACTACACCTCTTGTCTCACTCACTCACAGAAAGATACTTATCTTCTTTCAGAAGAAACTATTGTAGTTCATCCTCCTTGCACTCCTCCTAGACTACTACAGTACAGTACCATTAACATGTCTTGAGCAAAGTATATTAACCAATTGTAAGTTACATTGTAAATACAGATTTACATAACTTACCATTACCTTGCAATAAGACAAATACAGTACAGTACAGTATAGGATACAGTAATCCCTCCAAAATGTGTATAGTAACCATTCTCTGTCTACAGCATAGCAGTGTTGTTTCTTTATATTTGTTCTTACTCTTGCAAGCCCTCTCCTGGTATATTGCCAGGTAGCTGAAGCAAAGACTTTAGCTCATTTGCTGTCATTCATTAACTCTTCCTATTGTAAAAAAAAAAGTCTTCTTCTATGCTGTTCAAAAACAAAACCCGAAGATATACATCTGGTTTATCCCAGTCACTTCAAACAATCTAACCTAAAAAATCAGCAGCACATCATTATTCTCCCTATCAATCTAATACACACACTAGTTATCCTTGAATGGTCCACTCCTCTCACTTCTATCACATCTTTAACCCTATCCTTCCATCCCAAGCCTTTTTTTTTTTTAAACATACTGTATTTAGTGGAGGGCCCTTTGCCCCCTTGGCCCTTGGTTTTAGCCAACTAGTGGTATTCTATTGACTTACTAGTAGTACAGTATTCTATTGACCCATTATTGGTATTCTATTGGCCCATTAGTGATATTTTATTTGTCTCACTAGTGGTACAGTATTCTATTGATCCACTGGTGATATTGTATTCTATTTGGCCTACTAGTTGTATTCTACTAGCCCATTAGCTGATAATTGTTTTACTATAATAAATTATTTCAGGGACTGAATTTACCAAGATTGAAATGCATGAGGAATGATATTACTGGGAGTGAAAATACCAAAGCATTTCCTGAAGACACATTTTTCTCTCTCCATACAGGTCTGATCCTTATACAAGATTCTTAACCCTTTGGTGCTGCACCCTCCTATGATCAACCTTTCATCCATGGCATCCCACCCCTCCTTATCCCTAAAGGGCCACCTTCGTTGGTGAGCTCTGAGGTGACAGGATCGGCAGGGTTGTCCACATATGTTACCTGTGTGGAGGGCTACATCTAGTGTGGGAGGGCAGTGGTAGCATCTTTCCAGCATTGGCGCTTGTCTGCCTCTGTATGCAGTTGGACTAATTCCAAAGTACTATTGATACCTTCTCATGTGGTGCTCCTCCAAGCGTTACGGTATGGAGTGATTGTCTACCAGGTGAGGGGGGTCAATTGGCACTGTTTCAGGTTTGTCTTAAGATTATCCTTATACTTTTTCCTTTGTTCGCCAGCGTTACATCTACCATTCGTTAGGCAACTGTAAAGTAGCTGCTTTGGCAGTCTACTGTCGTCCATGCGGGAAACATG